AGTAGGAGGTATCTCAGTATCAGCCATTTTTTTTATTAGAAAGAAAGAGAGAAAGAGAGCAAAAAAGAAAGAAAAAAAAAAAAAAAAGCTTTTAAACTGTTAGGGTCTTTATAAGATTTGAAAAAACCTTTTGCTCTTCCAGCATTGAAGCAAGTGTTCCAGTTCATCTTCTTTTGATTGCTTTTAAAATTTTCAATAAAAGCAAAATCAGGTGATATTGTATTTGATAGATTTGAAGCTGGCAAGAGATCTTCATTGTATTCACTTTTAGATGGTCCATCTTTTTTTGTTTCTTCTGGAAAAGCTGGAGGTTCAGGTAAAGATATGCGTCAATACTTTGTTTTACATGTCTCCAAATACATATAGTCGTCTTCGGCATACTCTCTTGTGCGTTTTTTTTAGCTCTTCCAGATTTTCGATTTCTAATGCCTCCTTGATCTTATGAAACTGCTTTTGTATCCGCTCACACACATTCAAAAGGACGTCAATTGTTCGTTCCTCTAAAGTGATATCATTTTTAAATATCTGTTTTGCAATAGTATACAGCAGTTGAATTGTCTCATCAGCACGCTCCTTGATATCCATGCCCAACAGAGTTCTTTTTTGCTTGTGCAAAAAGTGTTCTACTGCAACTAATGGTTTAAGTGGTTGTTCATGAATATGACTATTGATAGTGATAGGATCCAGAATGTAAAAAGATTTAGCCCATGGTTTGCAAGGATATTCTTTTGCGTATGGCATCTGATCACTTTGTACTAAATCATTGGCTACGCTTGGTTTTGTGGGATGTATGCCGAAGACAACAATAATTGGTGAAACACCATGTTCTTTGATAACTGCAAGGCTGTATTCAATGATTCTTTGTATAAACTTGAGGTCAATTGTATTTTGGACTTCCACTAGAACAGGAGGCAAGGAAATGGTGACTTCAATGGGGGCAAATAACACGACTGAGCATCGTCCACTAGGCCATTCCGTAGACCGATCGACATACTGAGAACAGGCTTCAGAACCTATGTTCTCAAAACGATATGTTAAACTGTATGTACCCTTAAAAGAGCAAGTAGCTAGCCCTTACCTAGTACAGCATTGACAATAATGTTTCTGACAGAAGGATGGCGTAGTATTAATTTACTCATTAGATCGGTACCGGAGCGATGTTCGGAAGATAGTATAAAGGCGTTGAGAGTAGTTGTATCTTAAAAAATAATGTGAATTTTAAACTAGAAACAGAGACTTTTGTGTGCTTTTTATAGACAGCTTTTATTTTTATTAGTAAATTGTCTTTGTTAAATATAGGATAATACATACTTAAAGATTGATAAATTAATGAATATATTTTTATATCAGTTAACAGCAGTAAAAACTGATGGAGAGAAAAAGGATGGAAAAGCCTATATTCTTATTACTAATGGAAAAAAAAAAAGAAGTTACCGTATCTCTAATTACCGGTAACTTTGGAATAAAAAAAACTGCCCTCTAAAAAAACAAAAGTCACCCGCCCTTTGGCATTGGAACAACTGTACTGTATTTCCAGGTTATCCATGACAAGGCTAGAAAGAAGTCGATGCATACGGTGGCGTCTTGGTTGGTTACCCAGTTATAACACTACTCACTGCCTTCGACACACCTCACAGCTCCTTACAAAGCAATATGCCATCTATTGCCTCGACATGCATCACCGTCTACAAATACCGAAGTCTATAACTGATCCTCTGTCCCTTCTTTTAAATAAGCTTCCCACTCGAAGACCACGCTCTTTTCAAACAAGATCGTTTTGGACTATCAGATGGCCTGTAATCTGCGCTATCTTACATGAGCTTGATCACATATACCATGGAAAAGAGCCACCATCACCATCTGACCCAGGGCAGAAACTGATTAAATGGTTATTTAATTCTTTATAGCAGTGTTTTTTAACACTTGTTCCGTGAATCTGTCAGCCAAAGCATTTTTTGCTCTCGAGCCCAGAGGGATTTTTAGATTCTATCTCACAACTTGAACTGGCCAGGGCAAAAACGATATAATAAAAATATCATGTGTCCCTTGTGGCCTTTATAAATAAATAAATTACGACCAAAAATGCCGTCTCATTTCGTCCAGTTGTGTGCCTTTATTTCGACTAAAAATAAAAAATAAGTTCGGCCAAGCTGCAATGAGCTTTCAACTAATATTCCTTTTATTAATTTTTTGTTAATGAGTGAATCTGGCAACGTCTACGAGTTTAATGATCAAAACAAATTTCAAATGTATGAAATTTTCAATACAGAAGTCTCAAATCAAGTTCAAGAGCCACAAGTTAACATAGTGGAAGAAAATGGATAGACAGCAGTACCAGAATTACACAGAGAAAGAAAAGGACAGGGCTATTCAGACGTATATGTTTACTCCCCTTAGTTACAGCAAGATTGGAGAGAAGCATGGTATACCTGTCTCTGCCTTGAAGTCTTGGGTTAAAGCAGCAAAAGAAGCATCCAAGAAGAGGCTTTAGAAGTAGATAATGCTATTGAAGAGCAGCCAAAAAAGAATCAGCACCTTCGCAAGCTGAAGAAAGAGCATACGAAGCTTTTGGAAGAATTCATTAACAATCCAGTAGTCACGCTAGATCAAATGGCTGACACCCTCAGTGATAAATTTGAGGGCTTTAATATTTCTATATCTGGCGTGGATAAACACCTGAAAGAAAGCTGCTCTTACACGTTAAAGAGAATTACAAAGATTCCTGCCAAACGAAACTCTCCTGACGTTATTGAACTAAGATTTAGAGCTGTTGAGGCGTGAATTAAAGACTCCAATATCAGTTTTATGCAAAACTGTATCTTCATAAATGAGCCTAAAGCCTTAGCTTGCTAGTGGCCTTTTGAGAATATTTTTGCGTCATCTTCATTAAATATACAATCATTATACAAGAGAAGCTTCAAGAGAAACGTATAGCTTTTCAGTATATATGCTTGACTTAGTACTTGGCCTATAAAACACCATCAATAGAGGATAACTCAAAGACTTGGGTCAACCCAACTGATGGTATTATCGAAAGTGTTGAATACGACAGACATGACTAGAGAAAAAGAAACAAAGGTACGATAAAAGAGTGTAAAGGAAGAGTAGATGAAAAAACGTCACACTTATTGCCGAACAAAAAACTACAGCGGGGTCTCCATCCATAGAATGGACAGGAGACAAAGAGGTTCGAAACTTATCCTTACGACAATTTGAGATGAAAACACTGCACAGTGAGGTGGCCTTTATTTACTTTTATCAAATTAAATTGTGTAAGCTCGTGAAGCAATAATGAAGCTTGGAAACATAAAGTGTAACAGGTATATTTAGGCTCCGTTTTACAAATAATCCGCACCCCCTTATTTTATTGTTTCTTTTGTTTTTCTTTTCTTTTTGAAATTTTTTCTATTAAAGAAAAAGAAACTGTCATTTTTTCTCTTACGAATCGAAAAGAGAAAGAAAATCAACTTTTAAACATTCAAGAAATACATCAAGCTCCCTTCGGGGATAATATCATAATGGACATACAGCAACAACAACAACAGCAACAGCAGCAACAAGAATTAAACAACTTGATATCTTGCAATTATCATCAACCCTTTGATATCAAACCAATTATTGATTCTTCGAAAGATAATAATAACAATACCAATAGCTTAAATCATAGTAATAGTAGCAGTGCTACTTCTACTCCTTTACCTCAGTTATATTCTGATGTCATCTCTGTTCATTCGGTCATGCCACAATCAGCAGATAATCAAATCAACATTGAACAAAACACTTTAGCTAATGCTGGTCATGCTACCTTATTGACAGATTCACCTAATCCTTTAATTCATTCTAACGTCATCTCGACTGTAAGTATTTATACTGCGACTTAATTTTATTTCGCCTATTCACACCTTTGCGCGTTTTTTTTGCTAGGCTGACCAAAGCCAATTATCCTCTCCTCAGTTATCTGTCCCAAATCAGGCATCACCGACAAACACTGTGGGCACCATGGTAACGAACGAGGCCACTAATGAGCTAATTAATAATAATGGCTTGGTATTACCACATGGTAACATGTTTATCAATTCTTCATCACCCCCTATCCATTTAAACCAGTCACCATTTTACGATCAAAACATTCAGCAGATACAGCCACAGGTCTCGATGCAGTTACAAGAGATTTCCTCTCACTTGCCAACTCAACAACAACAGCAACAACAACAACAACAACAACAATCTTCGTTTGGTATCATTGCTCAACCGAGCATAGAGCATCATCCTATTGTTCCTTCTCAACGTACGCTTGAGCATGCTCATACTGTTCCAAGCCAAGCTCAATCTACGTTAGAAGAGCACCAAGAACGTGTGGCCGCTGCTGCTCAGCAAGTGATGGCTCAACAAATAGCTCAACAGTATGCCATCATACAACATCAACAAGTAGTCAATGAACATATATTGCAGTCACAGCAATCAGCACAATCAGTACAACCACAGTCGCAACCAATGCCTATACAGCATCAGTTCTTAATGAACAACGACCCTGGACAGCCACCAGCAGTCCCTTCTCAGGAAACACCTCATGTTGTTCTCTCTCAAATGTCTATGTTAAGCCCTTCTTCTCCTAATCCATCTCTTGTAAATAACTTGGCACACGCAAATGGCAACACGACTGCTACCACTACCCCTGTTGCTGCTCCCACTTCTTCTTTACAGAATGCCATCTTTCATCAACATATACATCGTTCCAACTTTGTTAATGAAAGTAACAAGAGACCTGCTACAGGCCAACCTACACTGATTGAACGCAAAAAGTCGAGAAGACATACTGTCTCAAACGGTCAACCGCCCGTCTTGAGCATTGACACCAAGGACATACCTGCATTATCATCTTCGCCTCGATCTGCTGTTGTTCTTGTTCCTGCCCAGACGTTTACTCGAAGTGAAGAAAGGAAAGCATTCATTGATCAGCAAAAAAAGTCGTTGGGGACCATCAAAATTCCTCCTCCACCTACACCTCAGGAGCTGGGTATGGTGCAGAGTGCTTCGGCTATTAGTGCCAAAGATTATGAAGGGCTGACGAGAGCACAACTGATTTCGAGACTTATTAAGCTTGAGACTGAGAAAATACAAAATGATAACTCTGACAATAAGGAAAAGGACGAAGAAGAAGATGCTAGTCCATCTGATAACCAAGAATCGAAGGCTGATAGTGCCACTATAGACGAAGATAAATCGACTGTAGATGAAGAAGAGGAGGAAGAGGAAGAGTCGGTAGTAGAAGAGGAGCCAAAGACAGAAAAGATGCAATGCAAGTGGAGGGATTGTGGTATCTATCTGGATGAGCTGCAAAAGCTTATAACACATATCAATACGGAGCACGTCGGAAGCGGAAAGGTAAGAAAAAAAGAAAGATAAGCTTACCCCTATTAACTTGTTCCTTAGGCTTCATATTCTTGTGAATGGGAAAACTGTCCTAGAAAAGAAAAACCATTTACAAAGAGACACAAGATGTACAATCATCTTCGCACTCATACAGGCGAAAGACCATTTGTTTGTACACAAGACGGCTGTGGCAAGAAATTTTCTCGACCAGATTCTCTTACGACACATATAAAGACCCATTCAAATGTTCGACCTTACACTTGCTATGTGAAGAACTGCGGAAAATCTTATTATCATGCGCGTTCCCTTAGGAAGCATGAAAAGACGCATGAAGAGTCTCCGACGGCGATGCTTTCTACACCCAATAGCAACATTCAATACTCTGGAGTAAGTCCTGCTGCGACTTCAACCAATTCGACACCCTTTAGCAACAATATGCCAGGTCATATTCAGGTCGATTATTTAAACAGCCCGATACAGCATTCACCTCTCCCTGTTCAAACCCCATCACTTCCTAATTCTCCACATCCACCTGTACCACAACAGCAACAACAAAACTTTACAATGTTACAAAGTCAAACCTCTTCACCCGTAAATAAGCCCTATACCCCACCAAATCATATGCTATCATTTTCTCCAGCTGGTATGGTTGAACAGCAGCAACAACAAAATAATGAACTCTCAATAAATCAACAGCAGCAGCAATTACTGGATTCTGTGAATCAACAGCACAACACCGCTTTTGGTTATGGTCAACAGCAATAGATGCCGTATATATATGTTTTATACACATTTTATTTGATAAATATACATAAAATATTCTTATTGCATATTGTTGTTCTCTCTCTTTCTCTTTTATTGTTACAAGTTTGAACTTTAAATGACAAGTTGCCACTGATGCAAATATTCAATTAAGCTTTATTCATTTGTGTGGATAAAAACGTGCGAAGGATAAGTACAGCCATCCAAAAGAGACATATGGAACAGCGAGTGAACTGCTCTGTGCAGTGCTCCCGCCACAGAACAATGCAGGAGCGGTATAGGAAGGAGAGCCACCATCCTAATAATAAGAACCTCCAAATAAGCAAAACTATAAAGAACTATGAGTATGAAATATCACAAAATATTATGTGTTACCCAAGATGTTGAATCTTGATTATATGTCTAGCTAACAACTCGTTTATCCAAGAGAAAAGAAAAGAGAAAATACAAATGATGAAACTTTTTTTTAAACCTGTATTGACTGTCACTGCGTGTATTAGTAAACTGTAAACAGACAATTTCTGTAGTTAGAAATGAACAACAATTAACCACGTTATTCTGTCCCCCTTCACGACTTGCAGGAATTACAAAGAAACAAAACAAGAATTCATATTTTTAGTAGACATAAGATATATTATAGCTGCAGAGCTTGTGTTTGTCCTGTTGACGCCCTTGTTTTAACAAGTAATTCTGTTCCTAATTGACAACTTTTGATATTAAGGAAAAAAGGATTTTGAAATTTTCTTCCAAGATCGAGTAAAACTCTTCTTAAGAGCATTTGCAGTTTATATATTTAATACTCAAATGATATTTTTAATAAAGAGCTTTTCTTTTGTTTTGACAAGTCCATACTTTCATACAAGAAAAATATATATTGGAGGAGAAATAGATGAAATTTCAATAATAGTCGATACGACGTTTTACTCGAAGGTTATATCTTATGCAACTGACGTAACTGCTTATTTTCTGTTTAAAGCTTGCTTAACTCTTCTAAAATATATTTCAACAGCTGCGTGAAGAAGATGGCGTCTTTCTCAATGAAAAAATAAGCCTAGGCACACTGGTAAAGAAAGAAATTGTTAAGCTATGCCCCGATTATTATAATCTATCAGATAAAGATAAAATAATGACCACCAGATCTTTAACAGATCAAATAAGTAATTGAGTTATAAAGTGTAAAAGTAGTAATTGGTTAAACTAAAAAGATACAAGGGCTATCTCGATTCAGATTATGAGGTTGATACTGGATCAGAAGAATTTAAAGTAAATAAAAAAAGAAATAGAAAGATTATAAATCTTTCAAAGAAAGGATTTATAAAAGAGGTGAAAGAATATAAGATAAAAAAAGGTCGCTTTATTCAAAGCTGTGGTTTATTTATGTCAAATCATATCTTTAATAGTCGTTGCTCAGGACATCTTCAAGCTTGAGAACCTTTGCATAGTAAAACTGGATACCAGCAAGGAACGCCTTCTTGATATCTTTGGCCTTAATAACTTCACCATGGAGCGCTTGATCAAACGTGTTTACAGCTTCATCTACAACGATACAGTCAAATCCAGCATCCTTGCCTGCATAAACCGTAGCATTCACGCAGTTATGGATCATCATGCCAACGACTATGATTCTATCAATGCCTTTGCTGCGAAGGTGCTCCTCAAGGTCAGTCTCGTGGAACCCATTAGAGTAGTTCTTGACAATGTACTTCTCAGTTGGAAGAGGCTTGACCAGATCATGAACTTGAACGCCCCATGTGCCTTCTTGAAAGAAAGGGAATTTCTCGGTAGGGTTTGGAACAACATGGGTAACATGGACAACTTCCTTCTTCTCTTCTCTAAACTTTTGGATCAGTTTGGCAATAGCTTCAGCAGTTTCGACTGGACTGTCAGTAGGGAATTTTCCATTAGGGAAGTAGTCGTTTTGGACATCAACAATAACAAGGGCTTCCTTCATTCTTGTGTATATATGCTTGCTTTTTAGTAGAGTAGAGAGTAAAAAAAAAAAAAAAAAAAAAAATGAGATGCTTTCCAGATCAGTTACCAAAATCCAGCCTATTTATATGTTTTTTTCATGCTGCTTGCGATTTGTGCTCCGAATGGATTCAGCTCATACGCTTGGCTTTAGAAAATATACTGTTGAATCGACTATGAAGAGACTTACCCTAGCACGCGCTCTTTCTCAAGTGAGGCATAGCCAATGCTACCTTTTTCGTGAATCTATTGTGAACATAAGCTTTTTTTGATCGTGTACTAAAGCTAGTAAAGATTGACGATTGATCTCTATGGGATATCTTTGATTAATAATACGTCCTCCCCAACGCTTCCTTAGAAATAGCATAGGCTTTGGTTTAGCCGCTACAATGGCCTCCCCTATTTAATTTATCCGACTACCAATGGTAGGCTGAGTTACTAATTTACAATAGGCTGATCCCACCAGTAGTAACTACAGTCACACATAATGGTTATTCGTACCAAAATGTAAATTAATCTTTCGTAAATTATGCATCAAATGTTTGGAAAGCCATTGTTCTTCCTTTTCAGTGTTTGGAGCTTCCATATTTATAAAAAATAGCTTTGGCTTGTTTATTTGAAGAATATAAAAAGAAATATTAATACTTTGTCGGCCCTCCTTTTGCCTCAATTACAGTCTTGCGTCGAGCTTTTATGCTTTAGATCAAACATGCTGTTGCTTCAGAACTTATTTTCTTCCACTATTTTCTCAACACAATGCTCAACTCCCAAGTATTTTTTATCTCATGTCTTCTTTCCTTGATGAGGTTCCCCGAAAATGAGTTATAAAAAAGGCAAACACTTGATGCACTCAAAAATAAGCTAATGTTACAGACACTTCCTTGGGGCGCTACATGTGATATCGCTTTACGACTTCACACTACCAAAGTCTCTGTCTAACCTAAGGTTGCCTAGTAGAATATCCTTTAATGTAAAATACACGTGAATGATCTTGGCTCTTTGTTGACAGAACTGACAACATAAAATTGAAATAAAAAAAATTCTATATATCTCTTTCTTCTTGAAAAGAAACAAACGAAGATGACAGCTTTATAAATTCGAGAGTTATCTGTTTTCGAGAAAGCCCAGCGTAGCGCCACATAATAAAAAGCTTTGTTGGAAGACATCATAGGTAGTGTCTGGAGGTAGTTCCCCTAGAATTAGTTTAACTCCTGGTCTTTCTTTTCTTTTCTTTTTTTTTTCTTTTTGACAATCAGAAGCCAAAAACTGAGCATATGCCTAAGGTAGCGTTTCTTTCCCTTGCTTTGTACCAGTTGATTTAATAATATGTTCGCAACAGCTTGGTTTCAATGTACACCTGGATGTTGGAACCAAAATTTGCTTGAAAGTTTCAGAAGCAAGTTCCCGCAGAATCCACTCTACTAGTACAATATTTACTGTTTTTAATTAGACAGCAACCGACGTAGGAAATCAAATATCCCAAGTAGAAAGAAACTGTGTCATTGCAGGTTTATACAGACGAGAAATTGAAGAATATGGATGGTCTCTTATGGAATATCAAAGCAAGTAAAAACCATCTTTAAAACATCGTAAAAATAATATTTTACTTGAACAGTAGCTATACCACAAAAACGAAAAATAGGTGAGTTAATGGTTGACAAAGATACTCGTGTCTAGATGCTGATTAAATTTTTCTCTTTTCGGAATAGATACGTCTGCAGAAGAAATCAATACCACTCGTGTAAAAGTTGGACATAGCAATGAAAAAGAAAATACCTTTGTAGATAATGGATATCAAGCCAGCATGATGAACAGTGAAGATAATGATATCCCTGAAGAACACAACTCGAACCTGTCGCACGAAACTGACGACACGTATAACACAGAACTATCAAACGCTTATGCCGAGATATATAAAGTCAAAAAGTACGTTTTGACTTATCATGAACTGAATAACGAAACCCAAGCATTCAACGAACTTGGCTACGACGTTGACAGCGACTTCATTGAAAGATTGTAAGTCTTTGTAGGCGTATGAATGTATTATTAAATAGCCCGTTCTAACTTTTATTGGCTTTAGACGATTATCATCTATATGTTTGAAATATACTTTACCTGGTGGAAGCAAAATTCAACCAGAAGATTTAGACATTGAAGAAGTTAAAAATATAAGAGTATAGAGGCGGATAATACTCTTCATTAAACAGAAAATGAATGCTTTCTGATGGCCAAGTTTTATTTAAGTGTGTAAGAGAGAATGAATAATATTTTACTCCTCAGACGAACTCAACTAACCAAATTCAACTTCACACACTCATATCTAAGTTAAATGATACAATTATACGTGGAAACGAAAACCTTAACAAGAACATGCCTGAATTGGAGCACATTGTTGAAAAGATATCGGGACTATTACAATATGTGTTTGAACCCAAAAGTTTGATATATTTCAAATGGTAACGTAGTTTATTTCCCTCGCTTTCACTTACTAACCTATACGATAAAAAGGGAAAAATCTTCATATGCTGTATTTGACAATCGATACAAAGAGCTCCGGTTGGATTTCGTGTTATTCAATGATAATCAGGAGATAGATTGTGGTAAAATAAAAAACGATGGTACAGCTGATAAATTGTTGGGCGAAGATAGAGCACGTATTGCTGAAACTATGAAACGACAACTGTATAAAAGGATGATTACAAGTAGAGGACACAACGAATTCAAAGCTTTCGGTATTTTCTTCAATGGTGTTCAATTAGAGCTATATATCATGTCGTTTAACCCTCAAGCTGATATTTCTAATGGCAAATACTATCACCTATACCAAGTAGATGATTTAAAGGTACTTTGTTTTTGTAATTCTTATAACAACTTGGAAGAGACGCTTGAGTTCCTCAAGGCATTTAAAAGTGTTATAGTAAGTAGTTTGCCAGCAAATCCCGCAAATACACCACTACTAGAACACAACTACGCTGATTTGTTTCAATCTACGCTTAGATTTACAAAAACATAAGCAGCTATCAAGGTTTTTTTTTTTTTTTTTTTTTTCCGAATAAAGCTCTCTTTTACTTCGTTTTTTTGCTGTTGATACCATTTTTGTTTTATAAGAAACAAAGCCAAATATGACGCACCCCTCTGACTATGTAGTGATGGTATCACTCTAACATTTACTGATTTCCGGCAAATTAAACTTTGATGAACACTTTAATAGTTTTGATAACAGGGTGTACTTCAAGATGTGAACAGAGACTTTTTTTTATTAACAAGTAAAGATTTGGTCGGCCCAAATGAGCCGAAATAAATTACTTTTTTTTTTTTTATTGGACAGACCTCCTCAGTTTACACGACGCGTGTGGTTACTACAAAGTTTAAGACCTGTATTTTTATTTCGTTGAGTTTTTAAATTATTTTTTATAATATTAAATAGATCTAAATCTCTCAAACAACATCAATAAAATTTAAAGTTCAAACATGCCTCCTGTCAACAAAAACTTGATGTCAACGTAAAAGTATCAGTTAATAAGCGTTTCATCACTGATAATACAGTGAAAACTATATTACTCTGTGAGCACGACTAGAATGAAACTAAGTTGAGCTTCCAAGGACAGACGATTGCACGATCTGAGGAAAATGGTAAGGTGATGTACAATGTACTGCTAGATGAAGCAAATAGCCACATCCTCAAGCTTAGTGAAGGCGCTATCAAGTACGTCGGCCCTCTTTCAACTCCTGTAGTTCAGGAGATTGTTGCCGACACCAATGTAGTCGAAGCGGAAGACTTGTTGGAAGATACAGTGGATGAAGATGAGGAAGAGGAATCCATCGATTTGACTTCAAGTCGTGGGTGGACTGCTGATGAGGTCTATATGAACTCTCGTTTAATGATGAACAATGGAAGATATGCCTCTCCATTGGATTATTTCTTGTTTTTCCTTCCTGTGGATCATTTTTATTCCATTATCCACAACACCAACCTTCATGCATGAAGTCTCGGCCATTGGGAAGATATTACCTTTCATGAATATCTCATGTGGATCGCACTCTTGACGGTAATGACTGTGGTCAAACATGGTGATAGAAAGGCATATTGGAGACAAGGCCAGTCTTTTTTCTTGATGAACGTTGACTTTAGTCAATATATGTCTTTTAACAGATTCAATGACATTATGAAGATGCATGTTTTTGAAATTCCTTCAAAGCAGGTTCAGGAGCTTGACCCTCTTTATCAAATTAGGTCCACCATCCAAGCCTTCAATGGTCACATGGCTTAATGTATAATACCAGGAAAATATCTTGCTATCGATGAATTCATGAATCAATGGTTAATTACTGGTATGTCAAATTTGAAGAAGGCTCCTAGAAAGCCACATCCAATCGGACAAGAGTTTAAGACGTAGACTGACAATCACTGCTACTGCATATTACGTATCGATACAGTCAGTGATCCTTGCCCAAAAGAATATGACAAAGATTCTGGTATGAAGAAGCTGACGGCCACTGTAAAACGTTTGGTGAAACCTTGGTTTGGCTCTGGTCGAACAGTCATTGCTGACTCTTGGTTTGATTCGCCCGATATGATCTCAATGCTGATGAATCATGGTCTTTATTCGATTATGCAAGTCACCAAGCGTCATTACTGGCCTCAGGGCATGCCTGAAACAGACATTGTGGAGAGCGTAGATGCTAACTATGGTAGCTACTACACTATGAAAAAAGATACAACCAATGGGAAAATGTTGGTTTGTGCTTTTCGGGCTCAAAAAATAAAAGCCTTTGTATCCTCATGTGGCATCACTAGACTTGTTGATGAAGACTTACAAGTCTTCTGACGGTAACTTAGTTACTATCAAGCGTCCAGAAGTAGTAGATGAATTCGAAAGACACAAAAGTAGGTATAATAGCTGCAATATAATGCATGTGTTGAAGTCAGTTATTTCGCTATAGGTTCTGTGGATGCTGCAAATAATTTACGTGATAATCTGACCTCTTATCACGATATTATCTCAACCGAGAGATGGGAAATGCGCTTCTTTGGTTTCTTCTTGAGTCTTTGTGAAGTGAATGCATACAGTTCCTTCAGGGTCTTCTCTGAGGAAGGTGCCTCAAGGGGCCACTCGTCCTTTAAGGATAATTTGGCCTTCAACTTGCTTGAACATTGTAAGAAATTGAAGTCGAGATACAATGAAGTGGCCCAAGGCAGCAACCGAATGTTTAGAAGTGATTCTAACTATTCCTACGTCTCCATGAGTAATGCAGGCAACAAAAGAAAGAGATTGGTATGCCGTAAATGCAAAGAAAGCGGCACTAATGGCAGAGGGGTTGAAAAATTTTGTAGTTGTGACCCCACAACCCCCTTGTGCTTCGACTATCATAATCAACACTTGAAGGCTGTCTGGCTTCGCCAGCTTTATTAAAAATAATCCTTCGTAACTATGTCTACAATATTTTTATTTTTTTTCAATAACAAAGCTTCAAGTTGCTATATCACTTTATTCATCAAAAGGTCAGCCCAAATGGGCCGATTACCAAATCTGTACTTGTTAATTATTGACGTTAATTTTATAAAATATTGTCGTAAAATAAAAAAATTATTTACGTAAAAAGACGACAAAGAAAAATACGTTTGAATAAAACGACATCATGTCAAAAGAGAGAGAGAGAGAGAGAGATAATGAGTATATGTAGAAAAAGAGAAAAAAAGTATGATAGCATTAGAGCACATATCCTAATATTAGTTTTACTTACTACCAAGGTGCATTCTGGGGAGGGTAGCGGTAACTACCCAGGAGAAGTTTAAACAAAAAAAAAAAAAGGAACGGAGGACAGAGAGAACCCAGAGCGTCAGAAGAGGCTATTGGGGAACGTTCCAGATACACGTTAGAGAGCAAAGAGGGGAGGACAAGCGAGTCAGAGCAAGGACCATGAGGACAGGCTAGTTTTGATTGGTGAATCTTTGAACACTCAGAGGGACATTTGATAACTGCTGTAAAGAAGCAAAAAATAGGAACAATTAAAATGGCTTTTTATATGTTTTTCTTTTTCAAACAAGCTTCAGGATCAGGTACTTGGAACAAAGAAATCATGTCAAATAGAAGCAGTCTATATCGTGACCATTTAAGAATATGCATTGCCAAATATGACTACATGTTCTTTTGATATTATGGAAAAACCGAAAAAAGGATCTAAACTTTTACAAAGAGACTAAAGAAGGCTATTCCAATATCAAGTTAATTTCAACTCCAAGTCAGCTCACCTGTTAATATTACTGTCAAATGGGATAGTAAGCCATATTCTTTTTGTATTTATTATTACACTGATAACACTACAACGGTTTCAATACGACATCTCAATTTGGAAATACAGTATATCCACGGATGTCAAGGCTGATACTACGAAAATACTCTTGGCGACGACGAATTTACATTTCGTACAATATGAATTTTGGATACATTTATTTTCGATCACAGGCGAATTTACTTTCCGGAAAGAATGTATAGCATAAGAACAGTGACAAGACATTATCTAAGCTTTTTAAAAGCTACTCTTGATGAAATGGATAAGTATCCAGAGAAGAAAGGACATTATCTTGTCATGGATAATGCTCCTATTCATAGCTCAACTGACATAGGAAAATACATTTGCTCTCGAAGGTACCGCTGTTTATCTTCCTCCATATTCTTCTGAGCTAAATCCAATTGAGCAATTCTGGTCGGTTGTCAAGAGTAAAGTTAGGCGAAATAAGTTTTTGGAAAAAGAATCACTCATGACTAGAATTAGTGAGGCATGTGATAGTTTATATTTAAGTGATTTCAAAGGTTTTGTATCTCATTCTGCCAAATGTTTTGGTAAGTGTCTCAACAAGAAGAAGTTGTCGTATTTGACCATGTCTAATACTAATCTTTACGTGTGAGATTACATTTGACTTAATTACATGTACCTTAGTTAGTGCTCCGACCTCTTTTAAGACAACGTAATTTCTTTTTGCTATGAGCTCTTCCTCTCACTTCTAATAAAAGGATAAAACAGAGACTCATCACTTCTTTGCTTTTATTCCACACATTACCGAGCACTAACAACAACAACAACCAATACCAAATTGAATCAATGGAATGAACGAAATGAATACAACTATGGCGCAACGGAATGATTGCCTTGATGAGGGTTGGTACATACAGTGTCAGCGGTGTAAACGGTGTAAACAGTGTAAACCTCTGATTGGCTGACCCAAATCTGACCTGATGCTCTTTTTTTTGTGTTTGGGTCTACCGTGATTTCTTCGTGACTTCTTGCAGATCATCTTTCCAACGCGGTTTCTTTAGTTTTGCAATGACAACCACTGAAGAAAAAACCTAGGATGAAAATGAGAGTAAATGGGTATACTGAATTTATATCTTTCTGGTATCTTTTTTTTTTGTTAATCGCCTGACTTATTTCGTAGTAATCGATGACCTTCTTACGTTCAAGTTACCACCGGCTCAGTTGCCTGGAATGGATCAATTAAGCAAATCCATCCTAAAAATATCAACTGCGATTGACATTATCACCTTGAATCTGTTGAATGTCCCAAAAGGAACTTATACCACCGCAAGCACTGAATGGGACAATGGCTCCCGTAGCGATATTCTGTATATCCCTTGTCTGGACATTCAAAACTCATTGCCACCAATTCTGTTCGAGGTACCACTTCGGTTAAAACAGCAGAAGGGTTTTCATCAATGTAATTTAAAAGAAATTGCTTATGCTCCTCTCCAAGAATACGACGTCGTCCTGATTTTTTCTTTTTCTCGAAAATGCTTTCAGGATCTTCATAATAGCGTTTGACCCATCTCTGGGCTGCACGAATATGAATGCTTAATTGAGTCGCGGCAGCCGAAGCACTAAGGCTTTTACTAAAAAATAAAAAATGTGTAACGTCACTTATTGCATAACTCCATATATACATCAACACGATCCCTTTCATCTCCAACTGGGTACAACATAGGCTTAGGAGGCCTCTCTGGAGGTTTATTTTGAAGAAATTGGGTACGAGAACTTATTGTTTCGATGGTGAAAAGCTCCTCATCAACTGTAAGATCCATCGGTTCAACTTCATGTTCATCAACAACACGTCCTTGTCCATCCTCATAAAAAAATTGCGTATTCATTTGAATGTTTGTAAAAATAAATTTAAAATTAGGAAAAGAGTAGAAATAAGGAATGGAACCATCACTTCAATTTATAAAATAACAGTTACTAAGCGACATGTAAAAATAAACAAGGTTCATCAAACGTTGATCACGACTTTATTTTTGGATCGTGTGAGATCATTTTTGAAGATCAAGATTTTTTGCACGACATGAAATTCAAAACCAGCGACTTTACTTTCTGGAATGACTGTACAATCCCAAAAACGCCACTGTGGAAACGTTGTGTGCAATATACTGATATACTAGGCAAACGATTATTAAAGAAGATACGACTGCAGTATCTGCAAGACAACCTAGAACAGCGGCGTACCGCACGCAGCTCAAATCTGCTCTCGCTGTGTCGCCCAACAATCTCTTTGGACCCAATCCTTTGATTACCCATGACAGGGCTAGAAAAAAGCTAATGCATATGGCGGCGTCTTGGTTGGTTACCCAGTTATAACACTACTCACTGCCTTCGACACACCTCACAGCTCCTTACAAAGCAATATGCCATCTATTACCTCGACATGCATCACCGTCTACAAATACCGAAGTCTATAACTGACCCTCTGTCCCTCCTTTTAAATAAGCTTCCCACTCGAAGACCACGCTCTTTTCAAACAAGATCGTTTTGGACTATCAGATGGCCCGTAATCTGCGCTATCTTACATGAGCTTGATCACATATACCATGGAAAAGAGCCGCCATCACCATCTGACCCAGGGCAGAAACTGATTAAATGGTTATTTAATTCTTTATAGCAGTGTTTTTTAACACTTGTTCCGTGAATCTATCAACCAAAGCATTTTTGCTCTCGAGCCCAGAGGGATTTTTAGATACTGCCTTACAACTTGAATTGGCCAGGGCAAAAACGATATAATAAAAATATCACGTGCCCCTTGTGGCCTTTATATTTTATAAAATTGTTTAACCGTACAATCCCAAAATTGAGACACAAAATGTAAAATAAGCTTGTCTAAAACCCAGCATTTCTTTAAATATATTACAAAAATCATCTTTATACAAATAGGTTATTATTTTGCAACACCCACAATGCTCTTTTGTCTTTCGGGGACATTCTTAACTTCTTCTCCCTTCTTCAAGTGCTTACGTCTGCGTTCTTCCTTTCTCTTTTCAGCTGCAATCATTTCCTTCTTTCGTGCATCAGCCACCTTAATATCCTTTGGAGTTCTTCTATGTTTATCAATTCTACGAATTTCTTGCAGGTGACCATATCTTTCTTTAAGCTTAGCACTGTATTCAAGCTTATTCTTCTCACGCCAGTCATTAACACCCAATTTTTCAGAAGCATGTGCCTTCCAGAGACGAATGTTGCCGTCGTCTGAACCTGAGAGGATGTATTTGCTGTCCATAGAGAACTGAACTGCAAAGATTCTTTGCATTCGTTTGGTGTGGTAACAGTCTCGACTATGTCCTTGCCCAACATTATATATACGAATGGTTCGGTCATATGAACCTGTTACAATCTCTTGTCCTGTGGGTGAATAGTCGATATCCATACTATACACAATATAACTCAGTATTGCGCTCCCTATTGTTCAAAAATCTAACTTACACTGCCGACACATGATCTTTCATCACATTTGTAGCAGATGTCATGTTTCTCATATCAAAGGTATATGCGTTATGGTCTTCACTAGCTGTACTAAAAATGTATGCTTCCAGGGGGTTCCAACAAATAGCGTTTGTTTTCAGCGTCATCACCAACTTCGACACTGGTTTGCTTGATCTTAAATCGTACAGGACAATCGTACGATCTGTACCACAAGAGGCAAAGATGTTTTGTTGTACCATATTAAACTTGACTGTCTGATATGAATCTGCTCCCCAGGCAAAGTCGTGAATAGGCTCTGATCGATTTTCATCCCAAACTTCAACTGTTCCTCCAGAGGTAGCAAAGAGTGCCTCTGAACGGTGATGTGATAATCCTGTAAATGCATGTTTCCCTGTGTAAGTCTCGATCGCCTCTGTGTCTTCACCCCAAATCTTGATCGTCTTATCTGTAGAGCATGATAAAAACTGTCCGTCTGAAATTCCAGCACATACACCACTCACAAGTCCTCTGTGTCCTTGTACTCTCCATGTCGTTTTTTGTTCAGATATTTCCCATATACGAATCTCGCCGTCGCCACTTCCTGAAATCATTGAATTAAGTCTTGAAGGATGCTTTGCCATGGCATAGACACCATCGATATGTCCCTCCATGGATGCAATAAAGGGTTTGGCAAACATTCTTTCAAGTTTTACTGCATTCAATGCTCTTGTGTATTCTCTTCCTTTTTCAAATGGATGTGAAGCAGGATCGTAATTTCTTTGGACTTTGTGGATATCTTCTACACGTTCACGCACGTAATCATTGGACGATCGAGATAAAACTTTGACTTTCTATACATTTTATGTCAGCCTTTTGCATACAAGATGTAAGCAATAGTTTAATTACCATATTCTATTTACTTTGCAGTAAGGAAAAGAAAAAAAGAGAGAGAGAGATGGAGAAAGATTAACTGAACTTTCAAATTAGCAAAGAGGATAAATTGTCCCAGTGGCTTGTTCATCGAGTGTTCTGGTTCTCTGAAAGTTGAGCCCGCAGTGGTAAATAAAAAGCAATCTTTCATGAGCTATGATAGAACAATAACTTGACCCAAAAACGAAATGTATTAACTTACTTGTTTGTTCATAAAAGATAATTTTATTTGGTCGCTTTACTGAAAACCACCTTATTAAAAGCTTGATGTTGCTCTTAAGTCAATAAACCAAATAATAAACAGGATAATTCAACTGACATCATGCTTTTTTTACAAGTGTTTTTCCACCTTTTGGTAAAGCAAATTGTCCTTTTCATCACTTCAAGTGCCTCTCTAAGCCCTCGCTTACTGCCACTGATTTCTATTAGGCACTAATCTACTGAGTTTTTCCTTTTGCAGCCCCATTGTTCCTTTCTCAGTGATCCTGGCGTACTGGTTTCTCCAAAATACAAAGTATTTGGAAGGTTCATAAGTCGTACATTTTTAGTAACGTTCCTTCTAACGTGGACTGCGTAGTCGTCATCGCTCAAAAGCTCGTACTTAACTTTCTACAAGTGATTATCGTACAAGCACGATAGGTGTATACTACCTTTTTCTCTTGCTCTTCAACTAAATCTACTGATGTTCTCAAGTTTCTTTGAAAAGAAAAAATATAAAAGTAATGGAAGAACAGATTTTTTAATAATGAACCAAAATCCATACTTGTTTATGTAATAAGAAGTCGGCCACTTGAGGTATTGTATTTATTTTGAAACTTGTAATATTAAAGAAAAGACATTTCCATCTCGTCAATTACCTCTTACAGCTTTATTTTTGCTGCAGAGGCAACGGAAATATAGAATGAATACAGCGAAGGGGAAAAGTATTGCTTGGCCTGAAGACTATTGATGTAAGGGTATATATCAATTGTATTACTAAATATTATCTCTTTTTCAACCCTTGCCTTCAGTTATCAGTGTCTGTATCGTTTGTAGATCAGTCTCAAGCAGCAAAGTCAACTGAATAATACACATACAATGTAAAAAAAAAAAAAAAAAAAAAAAAAAAGGACAAGCGTTGTTTACTGATTCAAAGCTGTGATTTATTTATGTCAAATCATATCTTTAATAGTCGTTGCTCAGGACATCTTCAAGCTTGAGAACCTTTGCATAGTAAAACTGGATACCAGCAAGGAACGCCTTCTTGATATCTTTGGCCTTAATAACTTCACCATGGAGCGCTTGATCAAACGTGTTTACAGCTTCATCTACAACGATACAGTCAAATCCAGCATCCTTGCCTGCATAAACCGTAGCATTCACGCAGTTATGGATCATCATGCCAACGACTATGATTCTATCAATGCCTTTGCTGCGAAGGTGCTCCTCAAGGTCAGTCTCGTGGAACCCATTAGAGTAGTTCTTGACAATGTACTTCTCAGTTGGAAGAGGCTTGACCAGATCATGAACTTGAACGCCCCATGTGCCTTCTTGAAAGAAAGGGAATTTCTCGGTAGGGTTTGGAACAACATGGGTAACATGGACAACTTCCTTCTTCTCTTCTCTAAACTTTTGGATCAGTTTGGCAATAGCTTCAGCAGTTTCGACTGGACTGTCAGTAGGGAATTTTCCATTAGGGAAGTAGTCGTTTTGGACATCAACAATAACAAGGGCTTCCTTCATTCTTGTGTATATATGCTTGCTTTTTAGTAGAGTAGAGAGTAAAAAAAAAAAAAAAAAAAAAAATGAGATGCTTTCCAGATCAGTTACCAAAATCCAGCCTATTTATATGTTTTTTTCATGCTGCTTGCGATTTGTGCTCCGAATGGATTCAGCTCATACGCTTGGCTTTAGAAAATATACTGTTGAATCGACTATGAAGAGACTTACCCTAGCACGCGCTCTTTCTCAAGTGAGGCATAGCCAATGCTACCTTTTTCGTGAATCTATTGTGAACATAAGCTTTTTTTGATCGTGTACTAAAGCTAGTAAAGATTGACGATTGATCTCTATGGGATATCTTTGATTAATAATACGTCCTCCCCAACGCTTCCTTAGAAATAGCATAGGCTTTGGTTTAGCCGCTACAATGGCCTCCCCTATTTAATTTATCCGACTACCAATGGTAGGCTGAGTTACTAATTTACAATAGGCTGATCCCACCAGTAGTAACTACAGTCACACATAATGGTTATTCGTACCAAAATGTAAATTAATCTTTCGTAAATTATGCATCAAATGTTTGGAAAGCCATTGTTCTTCCTTTTCAGTGTTTGGAGCTTCCATATTTATAAAAAATAGCTTTGGCTTGTTTATTTGAAGAATATAAAAAGAAATATTAATACTTTGTCGGCCCTCCTTTTGCCTCAATTACAGTCTTGCGTCGAGCTTTTATGCTTTAGATCAAACATGCTGTTGCTTCAGAACTTATTTTCTTCCACTATTTTCTCAACACAATGCTCAACTCCCAAGTATTTTTTATCTCATGTCTTCTTTCCTTGATGAGGTTCCCCGAAAATGAGTTATAAAAAAGGCAAACACTTGATGCACTCAAAAATAAGCTAATGTTACAGACACTTCCTTGGGGCGCTACATGTGATATCGCTTTACGACTTCACACTACCAAAGTCTCTGTCTAACCTAAGGTTGCCTAGTAGAATATCCTTTAATGTAAAATACACGTGAATGATCTTGGCTCTTTGTTGACAGAACTGACAACATAAAATTGAAATAAAAAAAATTCTATATATCTCTTTCTTCTTGAAAAGAAACAAACGAAGATGACAGCTTTATAAATTCGAGAGTTATCTGTTTTCGAGAAAGCCCAGCGTAGCGCCACATAATAAAAAGCTTTGTTGGAAGACATCATAGGTAGTGTCTGGAGGTAGTTCCCCTAGAATTAGTTTAACTCCTGGTCTTTCTTTTCTTTTCTTTTTTTTTTCTTTTTGACAATCAGAAGCCAAAAACTGAGCATATGCCTAAGGTAGCGTTTCTTTCCCTTGCTTTGTACCAGTTGATTTAATAATATGTTCGCAACAGCTTGGTTTCAATGTACACCTGGATGTTGGAACCAAAATTTGCTTGAAAGTTTCAGAAGCAAGTTCCCGCAGAATCCACTCTACTAGTACAATATTTACTGTTTTTAATTAGACAGCAACCGACGTAGGAAATCAAATATCCCAAGTAGAAAGAAACTGTGTCATTGCAGGTTTATACAGACGAGAAATTGAAGAATATGGATGGTCTCTTATGGAATATCAAAGCAAGTAAAAACCATCTTTAAAACATCGTAAAAATAATATTTTACTTGAACAGTAGCTATACCACAAAAACGAAAAATAGGTGAGTTAATGGTTGACAAAGATACTCGTGTCTAGATGCTGATTAAATTTTTCTCTTTTCGGAATAGATACGTCTGCAGAAGAAATCAATACCACTCGTGTAAAAGTTGGACATAGCAATGAAAAAGAAAATACCTTTGTAGATAATGGATATCAAGCCAGCATGATGAACAGTGAAGATAATGATATCCCTGAAGAACACAACTCGAACCTGTCGCACGAAACTGACGACACGTATAACACAGAACTATCAAACGCTTATGCCGAGATATATAAAGTCAAAAAGTACGTTTTGACTTATCATGAACTGAATAACGAAACCCAAGCATTCAACGAACTTGGCTACGACGTTGACAGCGACTTCATTGAAAGATTGTAAGTCTTTGTAGGCGTATGAATGTATTATTAAATAGCCCGTTCTAACTTTTATTGGCTTTAGACGATTATCATCTATATGTTTGAAATATACTTTACCTGGTGGAAGCAAAATTCAACCAGAAGATTTAGACATTGAAGAAGTTAAAAATATAAGAGTATAGAGGCGGATAATACTCTTCATTAAACAGAAAATGAATGCTTTCTGATGGCCAAGTTTTATTTAAGTGTGTAAGAGAGAATGAATAATATTTTACTCCTCAGACGAACTCAACTAACCAAATTCAACTTCACACACTCATATCTAAGTTAAATGATACAATTATACGTGGAAACGAAAACCTTAACAAGAACATGCCTGAATTGGAGCACATTGTTGAAAAGATATCGGGACTATTACAATATGTGTTTGAACCCAAAAGTTTGATATATTTCAAATGGTAACGTAGTTTATTTCCCTCGCTTTCACTTACTAACCTATACGATAAAAAGGGAAAAATCTTCATATGCTGTATTTGACAATCGATACAAAGAGCTCCGGTTGGATTTCGTGTTATTCAATGATAATCAGGAGATAGATTGTGGTAAAATAAAAAACGATGGTACAGCTGATAAATTGTTGGGCGAAGATAGAGCACGTATTGCTGAAACTGTGAAACGACAACTGTATAAAAGGGTGATTACAAGTAGAGGGCACAGCAAATTGCTATTCGTTCCTAGAACAATCTCAGCTGCCTCCGTTCCAGCCTCCAATGTGGTAAATGCTCTCAGAGCCACGCTTTATTTTCATATGTATATATAATAATAAGCTTTCAAACATCCTTTTCCCTTGTATCTTTCGAAGCCACGCATTGTAGAATAAATTATGGGTGATATCAATAATAATGAGCCAGAAAGATTTCTCACTGCAGCAGACGCACTTGCGCTCTTCAAAAGACTGCAAATCGAAGAAAGAACCAGGAAAAACAAAGAAAGGCATGGCTCCGAATTGCCACTGGAGATATCATAGTATCTGGATAGCACGCCAACATATGAACTCAAAGAAGAGTTTACAAGGTTTAAAAAACAGGCCACCAAGTACAGGAATGACAACCGGAACAAGCAACATCAAAATCAACAAAGAACTTGTTCCTGGACTTGAGAAGTGGGAGACAGTCACTTACCAAGTCATCATCTCTATCTATAAATACTCAGAAAATACTAGAATACAGGCAAGAGCAACGACAGAAATATACGAGCAACTCCTTTATTTTCAACCATACATAATTCGGTTTCGTACTAAAATGTAAATTAATCTTCCGCGAGTTACACATCAAATGTTTGGAAAGCCATTGCTCTTCCTGTTCAGTGTTTGAAGGTTCCATATTTATAAAGAATAAACTTTGACATGTTTATTTAAAGAGTATAAAATAAAAGGAAAAATCAATACTTCGTCGACCCTCCTTTTGCGGCAATTACTACCTCACATCGAGCCTTCATGCTTCCGACCAAACATGCTGCTAAACCAAGGCTTATTTTCTCTCACTCTTCTCTCAACACGACACCCAGCTCTTCAGTATTTCTTATCTTATTTTTCCTTTCCTTAATAAGATTACTCAAAGCGGCCCAAACATACATTATCGTGTTCAAATTAAAGTCCCTGATCTGGTGGGTTTCCTTCCATCATTGAGCATAGCCGCAAGTTATGGCAGCTAGCTCCATCCTCTTGGAATATAAAGTCCCTGTTTACTTGCTGGCAAAGCTGCATGAATCAGATATGAAAATTTTGAATTAAAATGTTTATATATGTGTCTTGATCAACTGTACCGTCAAGAAAGTTAGCTAGAGATCTCACCGCAATTGCAATTGATGAATACAGACTTCAAAAGTTTACAGTGCTTGTAATAACGATTCCCTTAAACGATGCCCGAATTGAAAGGCTATAGTGTCCTAGTTTGTAACGCCTGCAAGACACTATGGCAATGAGATATCAACGCTTATAAGAACATGTTTGGAATGGGAGAGGTCAACCTTCCAAGCATAGAATATATTAAGGGTTGTTTAAAGTCGTCATAATGAACACGGTTTCCCTTTTGGGATAAAGATCATTACAGGTAAAGAAGATGCTTAATAATTTTATACTATTCCAGAAAGTAATGTCTTTCCAAGATGTTGTAATATAAATTTTTGGTGAAAATAGCGGATTTTATTGAGTATAACGTCCTACTGAGTACAAATATAAATACTGCTGGGCGCGACCAAAAGGACAGTAATGAAGACTAAAAGTCCCTTTTTGGAATCAAGAATAAAAAATATACTGGCAAGAGGGTGCAGGATACAATCAATTGTAATGGAAATTTCGGAAAACGCTTCTGTGCCAAAATAGCCTTCCTTAATAAAGAAGCGTGCGATAGCACGTTGAACAGGAGCCCTTACACGACGAAGAGCACGAATCAGACTATCTACGAAGGTGCCAAAGGCATAGTTAACCTTGCTTTGGTTGCTCCACTTAGAGTACGCTGATATCACGCAAATTTGCGGAACCATGAGGATCACTCATCGAGAACGGTAGTTGCAAACTTATTTAGCTGTGAACGGAGCTCAGACTCATAGTCATTGTAGGTAAGTAAGGCAACAAGTTGGCGGTCCGGATAACGTATATCGAGAATATGGCTACAGACGTCGTAATCGGCCACGTAGTTGTCTGATAGGAATACGGCGCTGGACATGCAAATAAAGGTATCTAAAATTTTGATTTGAAGAAAGGGGGCTAAATGTATGAGCAGCAGCAGCTTAGCTTTGCAAGAAGTTTCGTGGCAACCTTAGTTGACGGAGGGAGCCCAGTATCTGGAGTGGAAGGTCGTTTTCGAGAGGGTTGATGTTGCCATGGTGATTCAGGAGGACGGGTGACAGCGGAGGGATTGGCGGCGGGCAGTATAGTAGCAGAGAAAACCTGAGCTAGACGCTCACGAAGAGAGGCGTTTTGTTGCTGGAGTCTAACTATTGCAGCCTTGGCAGCAGAAAATTCTGCTTGTGGTTGCTTCAACGTTGGCATAGTATGGATGTACTTTCCAATTAAGGTAAAAAGCATCAAAAGTATCAAAAGTGTCAAAAGTGATATAAAGTGTTACGCATTTTTGAGTTATGCGACATTACTTATAGAAATAAATGTACTTGATCCAAAAAAAAGTTAGATTTTCACTAAGTTTTTGTATAGTACGAATACCAGTTCAGTTGAGCTTTGGCTGATCAGCCTATTGTAAATTAGTAACTCAGCCTACCATTGGTAGTCGGATAAATTAAATAGGGGAGGCCATTGTAGCGGCTAAACCAAAGCCTATGCTATTTCTAAGGAAGCGTTGGGGAGGACGTATTATTAATCAAAGATATCCCATAGAGATCAATCGTCAATCTTTACTAGCTTTAGTACACGATCAAAAAAAGCTTATGTTCACAATAGATTCACGAAAAAGGTAGCATTGGCTATGCCTCACTTGAGAAAGAGCGCGTGCTAGGGTAAGTCTCTTCATAGTCGATTCAACAGTATATTTTCTAAAGCCAAGCGTATGAGCTGAATCCATTCGGAGCACAAATCGCAAGCAGCATGAAAAAAACATATAAATAGGCTGGATTTTGGTAACTGATCTGGAAAGCATCTCATTTTTTTTTTTTTTTTTTTTTTTACTCTCTACTCTACTAAAAAGCAAGCATATATACACAAGAATGAAGGAAGCCCTTGTTATTGTTGATGTCCAAAACGACTACTTCCCTAATGGAAAATTCCCTACTGACAGTCCAGTCGAAACTGCTGAAGCTATTGCCAAACTGATCCAAAAGTTTAGAGAAGAGAAGAAGGAAGTTGTCCATGTTACCCATGTTGTTCCAAACCCTACCGAGAAATTCCCTTTCTTTCAAGAAGGCACATGGGGCGTTCAAGTTCATGATCTGGTCAAGCCTCTTCCAACTGAGAAGTACATTGTCAAGAACTACTCTAATGGGTTCCACGAGACTGACCTTGAGGAGCACCTTCGCAGCAAAGGCATTGATAGAATCATAGTCGTTGGCATGATGATCCATAACTGCGTGAATGCTACGGTTTATGCAGGCAAGGATGCTGGATTTGACTGTATCGTTGTAGATGAAGCTGTAAACACGTTTGATCAAGCGCTCCATGGTGAAGTTATTAAGGCCAAAGATATCAAGAAGGCGTTCCTTGCTGGTATCCAGTTTTACTATGCAAAGGTTCTCAAGCTTGAAGATGTCCTGAGCAACGACTATTAAAGATATGATTTGACATAAATAAATCACAGCTTTGAATCAGTAAACAACGCTTGTCCTTTTTTTTTTTTTTTTTTTTTTTTTTTACATTGTATGTGTATTATTCAGTTGACTTTGCTGCTTGAGACTGATCTACAAACGATACAGACACTGATAACTGAAGGTAAGAGTTGAAAAAGAAATAGTATTTAATAATGCAATTGATATATCCTTATATTAGATACAGCTGTTGAAGATAACTAGGGCGAAATGACATGATTAGGTCAGGACCTGGAGCGCCTATATGTAGAGGCATGCACTACCTGAGTCAATATGGTGTGGTCCATCGTGTCTTTGGGATCCAAGAGGTAGCTCTGAGGTTCATCGGAAGGCGGGCCACAAGAAGCAGAAATTTTCCTGAGCATGTTGGGAGTACATTCCTTGGTGTCGTGCAACGCCAGTTCGGATAAAATCTTTTGAATAGCCTTGACGAATTCCAGAGATCACTGACGAGTAGTGTCAAGATCCCAATGACTGTGAACCAGTTGATAGGCAAATCAGTCAAAAGGACAAGTAAGACCAGATAGAAGAAACTAGACACCGTGCATTGAGTGTCGAAGTAGCCAGCGGGACTCGACAGGTTAACTTTATTGAGTTCAGAAGGATCATACGAGCGAATGGTGTTCTTAGGGCATTCAAATAGGAAACGTCGGCGTTCAGTATCTGGAAGAGGACGACAAAAGAAGCCTTCCTCAATGAAGGGACAATGTTCCAGAAGAGCTGAAGAAGGAGTGAAATCAGCTCCAGGAGACAGAACGATCACATTGAGGCCCTCCTGTAAATTTCCTACAGTGGCGTGACAAAGAAAAGGTTTATTATTACTTACAAGAAAATAAAACGTGACTCAAAGAGCATATATCATTTAGAGATCTTCTTTTCACTAACTAATCAATAGTAGTATTTAATAATGCCATAGCAATTTCTATTTCAAAAGTAGTAAAAAAAAGAACAGTAAATTAAAACGTGTATTTTACAAAAGTAAAAAGCCAAAATTATTTTCAAAGAGTAATACACGCTGAAAATACGAACTTAAAAGACAAAATCCATTATCGTACAGCAGGCTTCTGTTTCTAGGCCTTTTAACCTGAAAAACAAGATAAAAAAAAGTAGCTAGCGTTATGAAAATAAAAGAAGGAAGCGGTTTCGAGCATTTACCTTTGATTTATCGGATAACGTACTTTACTCGTATTTATATGATGGCAGCCGTACAGTCTGCGAAACTTACATATGTAGGCCGGCATTCAGAGCTATACCGCTTTAATCTACTGAACTGCACAGTAAAGTTTTAAAGAACCATCACAAAATACGCCCATATCTAGTATTGAAAGCTATCTTCCGTATGCGTGAGGATAAAAATATCCAGAATATCCAACACGCTACTGACCACCCTGAGAGTCACTGGTTGCAGTTACTACCAGAAAAGATAGCTCACAGAAAAAAAAAATATGCATACATGTTACAGATTTTTAGTCGAAAGAAAAGCAAACATTGAAAGTTCTTTTTGAGATGACTAATTGGAATATTTACATTCCTTGGACAAAGGTACAGCAAACAGCCTGAGGTTTAAAATTAGATGCAAATAATTCCCAAAACAATTATATATATGTCATTCATGAGAATGAGATATAGAAATTGTTTTCTATAAAAGGCTACATAGAAATGGAAAATTTTGGTCTAAAATAGAATTATATCAAAATGCTGGCGAAAAGAAGACGAATAATGTGATAGATGCCAGGAACTGGCATCATCATATTGATGGTATTTTTAAAACTGCCATTAAGTCTATTCCTTCCAAAAAAATTGAATATTCAGATTGCTATCTTGAAAGGTATAAGGAAAAATAGGGAAGGCAAAACTTTATTAATTATTTATATGCAAATAAAGCGTGGCTCTGAGAGCATCTAACACATTAGGAGTCGGAGTGGAGCCAACTGAGATTGTATTAGGAATGTCAAACAATTAAAGGATAATGTTTTAAGAATAAAAAAGGGGGACATAAATGCATAAGAAAGCGTGTAAAAAATAAATACATAATTTATTTCGATAGCATATTCTCACGATGAAGGTATCGTAACAGCAATCTTCCGCGAACGATGACCTAGCCATAGAAGAAACGGTGTTCTTGGAAAGCGACTTTCTAATGAATCCTTTAGACGCATAGTATAGTGTAGGCTACTAACGTCATGCGGTCAATCCGCGAGTCATGGGAAAGAGCTGTAGATGCTGTTGCCGGTCTATGCACAATATCCTGGAGCTGCAGAGATCGGTTCGGAAAGGCAATATTGTACCATCACAACATTATCAATAAATATTCAGAGCTATCGCTCTTCGACTATAGCCTATCATATGTGAGATTTCTTCTATATAGTTCCTGAAGTGCCGTTACAATACTTCAGTTTAGTGTCAGTGCTCTAGTAGTACAGATTAAGACTTCCTCATTCGATAATCTCTGTCAGTTCAGGCTCACCTTAGTCTAGAAAATCTTCTCCTGTTTCTTGGATGATTATAAATAGATATACAATTAGGTCAATTGCCATTATTGCTCATATACGTTAAGAAGTATAAGTACTATTGTTTTATTCATCATAAATAAAGATATCATATATTCCAGTCTCACTGACTTATTGTCCTTTTTCTACTCTTCTTATTATTACTAGTTTTTGTCGCTTACCTTCGTATCTGGCAAAACAGAACTGTTGGTTAAAGGAATTAATCTGTCAACGCGCATACGTGGGTTCTCATCTTCATCTAAGGCCAATCCCGCTATTGATGACATTACACACGATTTCCAACACACTTTCCACTAAAGTGCTTGCTTATGCCGACGATTTAATTATCTTTCTGAACGACTTACAAGGCCTACACGAAATGAAGCGGTTGATAACGGTGTACAACAACGCCTCCAATGCAAAAATAAACTTTGACAGTACTATTGCTTTTTCTGCCTCCGGTCTACCTCCTTCTACTAGGACTTCTGCTTTATACTCTTATGGTATTACTCGTTGGCACGATCGCCGTTCGCCTGAACCACTTACCTACTTATGCTACCCGCTAATTCTTTCCAGCGCCCAAATGGCCTTTTTCTGAAATGAACTGATAAGCAAGATCACTCATGCATTCAGCATTTATCGACAAAGGCAGTTATTAATTCGAGGGCGAGCCACTAACTTAGCATATTGATTATTTCCTCCCTTTGGTATGTACTTCGAATAACTTGGATTAATCAAAACACCATCTCTACTTTGTGGCAGATTTTCCCAGAAATTTTAATGGCCAATATTTTTCCTCCGGTGTCCTTTGATATTCTACAACTTTCCTTGCATGATGGGCATATCGGTGTTATAATCCGGTATTATAATTTTATATAAAAAGAGAAAAAAGTAGCCAGAGAAAGTACGTTGAAATACTTTTTATTTCTTGAAAAATAAGGCAACGGTTAATGGCAAGGGATAAGGGGATCTATTTATACTTTTTCAGTCTTTAAGAGTTGGTGAGAAAGCCACTAGGTTTTCTTGTTAATTGGTTTAATTTTTAGCTATTTGTTTAATTTGGGAACGATTCTATTCATGCTAGATTGGCTATCGTTTGTCCGTGTATATTTATATTATAAAATATCATTCTTTGATCATAAATGACTTCTTAGAGTTCTTTGGTTAAATGACAATTAGATTTGTACCTTACCAATTGTTGATCTGAGACCTGAAGCCTAGGCACAAAAAAGAGAGGATTTATTCCAAGGAACCTTATTTAAACTTTTAATGCAGTAAGCAGTAAAATTTCTATTCCAGTTCTATTGTTATGTCATTGTAAAGCTTCGTCATACCTTATTGTATTAGTTGGTCCTCTGCATGTCTCGATGCAGCTTTACTGTCAACATTGGATCATAAATGTTTTAATGCAAAGACTATAAAGTTTATTCATCATTTGTAAGACAGTATTTATTATTTATGATGCAAGTCTTCATCAGATCTAAATTAAATCTTGCCTACATGAGTGATACTGCTCAAGATATACTGTATAACTTATTATTTATTATATCTAGCTTATAATAATCAGTGCTTCAGACACTGCGGTTCAACAACTTGCCCTTCAGTATCGGTGGTTGACCATTTACTTCTCCACCCAGTTCCCTCTTAGGCACCAGTTGGATTAGTTTTCATGTCAAAAGTATAGCGCTGGCTTCTCTGCCAGATCATAACTTACCTTTTATGTTTTCCGCCTTCGTCGGGCCCTTTATTCATGCACCGTCCAAGTTTTATACTGGTTTGGAAATGCAAAAAATTAGAAAAACGTAGTACGAGTAAATTTTGGTGCTTCCAAATGACAGTAGCAAAAGACTACTTAAGGAGAATATGAGCTTTTCCATCCCTTTTCTCTCCATCAGTTTTACTGTTGTTAACTAATAAAAAAAAATATTCATTAATTTATCAAACTTTAAGTATGTATTATCCTATAACTATCAAAGACAATTTACTAATAGAAATAAAAAGCTGTCTATAAAAAGCACAAAAGTCTCTGTTTCTAGTTGTTTAAAATTCAATACCTTATCAAGACGAAAGGAGGAGGCTGACAAGGCCAATGTGGAATTCTGGAGAATGAATGCATCCGATTTAAAGATCACCACTGACAGGATCAAGCTCTTCATCGAGTCTAAATGTGTTTTAGACCACTTGGTCGTAGAAAAAACCGCAAACGCAGGTGATATTGCCATTCCGGCTTTACAGCTTATTGGTAAATCCTTTTTAATTAAAAGAAATAACACATTTAAATTATAAAAACCTGATAGGAAATAAATCCAGGCTTTACTCTTTAAGACTAGTTGCAAGTGTGTTGTACATTAGTGTCAAAAAAGCTTCAGCGTATATTCCTAGTAGAGCTTCGTCTATAAAAGTCTTTCGTGATGTCATTGAGCTGTTGTTTACTTTTAAAGTACGTATTAGAAAAAAATTACGATAGATAATTAGATTTTTAGCATCTATAAAGAGGGCAACAGTTGATTTGGCACCTATAAGTCTGAAAGACAATGAGCACAGAGACAATAACACTTCCTGGTTGAGAGGAACTTGGATCCCACTCAAACAAAACAAAAGACATCGTGTACCTGAGGTACCAAAAAATTTGGTCTTTGGTAATATGTAGACGTGTTGAAGGACAAAAGATGGAAAAGATGGAAAAGAAAAATAAGTTGACATGTAGCATTGTGTATGGAAGTCAGTATTGATTTTTTGAATAAAATATGTGTATAATTTTCGAAAGGAATAAAGTATCTTTATTTGGAGCTCTTAAGTTCCACCAAAAAAGCAGCAACACTGATCGCACGTTTATCGACTAGCGTTGAAGATTTGAAAGGGTTTCTCAAGCAAATGGCAAATAAATATTAGATTAATTGGCATCTGATTGATCTATATGTTAGCAAGCAAAGGGTTGTTATTCTTTATTTACTTTAGTTTTATGTTGTCATGTGCTATCAACAAAGATGCAAGGACACATGTAATTATGATGAACTCATGTAGTGTTGGCCATTTGAACAGGTACTGTACAAGTTACGATAAGCTCTTTGAATACTCTATAAACCAATATCAGTGCTAAAATACAACAGATACGACATTCTCTGCTATAAGAATACTTAAACGAACTTCGCTGGTGGATGGCATACCTATACCAATAGAATAATCGCTCTGTTTTACCTTCGATTCCTTTTGTAACTCTTTTACGTCGATACGAGCAATTCCGGATGGAGTGGTCATCTCAACAATGAAAGAGTTCATATTATTGGACTACAGCCGAATTCCAGTAATCCATCAACTGGAGAGAGTTGAAGGTAGTGCAACTCTTCCTTCAACATTTCCCTCATATGCGGAATACGACAGTCTATTATGTACTGACAATGCTACCACCCTATCGTACATCAATAAACAGGGTGACACAGAGCCTCTCAATCTCATGCTTCTAACTACTTCCCTCTGGAAAGAATGTCTTGGCTGTTGGCTAACCATTTACGCCAATAATGTACCAGGAATAGAGAACACCATCGCAGACTACGAATCGCGACGTCTTCACAACAAACATCAATGGCCGATTCAGTCGTCCGCTTTTAAGCACAAGATAAGTCGGTTGTGGGGACTCCACGATGTGGACCTATTCGCTGGCCTTACGCATTGCCTCCTACCAAAGTATGTATACTGGATGACAGAACAGAATTTAATTGCGTAAGGTGTAATTGGTTGACAGCATTTTTTTTTGCATATAAAGATCAACTTCTTTTTCCCCCATGGGTCTCTTTCTTTTCTTTGTTCATAAAAAGACTTATTCCATCTTACTGTATTCTTATGTTTTACAGGTAAAATTACTTATTATGAAGTCAGACGAGAAGTACGAAAAAGACCAAGCTGATTTATATGATTGTTCCGCAAAACAGCTTCAATGAAATAATCGAAAACTCATCAATTTCCCCCTCTCAAACTTGTCTTTTGCTCATACAACATTATTGCAAAGTCTCTCAAGCTGTCCGGTGTCCTTGGTGCAGTTCATATCGCATTTAGTGAACTCAACTGAATTTACAACAAGCCCTTTCGATCCATATGAGCATAGTGACTGGGACACTGTTCACCACATTGCATTTCAGTTGTAAGTTGTATGTTTTTGTCAATATAGTTTATTAATGCCAAATAAACAATTACGTATTAATAGTTTAACAATGCTAGAAAAAGCTCTGTCAATCTAATATCTACCAAGGTGCTTGAAAGAACGCATGCTACTTAGGCCACGCACCCTTTTATAAATAGCTTATTTTTACAGTACATAAATATTGTAAAGGTCGGGTGGTAAGTCTTTCATTTAGTATTATTCACAGTAGATCATTAAATTTGGCGTTTAATATATCAGCAGGCCTGAAGTTACTCGCGTCAATATATACAAAACAAAGTTAGGCGGCCTAGATGCTGGCATATAAGACGATGGGCTAGCAATGATACTGGAGGTCGCAGGAGGTTCTGTTTGTAACTGTAGACACAATAGCTTGATGATGACACAAAATAACTATATTCCAATGAAATAATTAATTTAAATTTAAGAGAAAGCTTTGACAAGATCTTCACCGTAATTTACCACAGTAATCTCATTTAAACAGCTCTTAAGTTAGCCGCTAATATTTGATATTACTATTATTTTAGAAAATAGACAATACTTTGTACTTAAAATCTTTAACTAGATATGGCGACGACTTCATTCGTAAAAGGCACTCTACTATTACTTATCCTACAGACATAATTGCATTAAAGCTATTCAATCGTCGCGACTTACCACGGGCCAAGGCCCGTGGTAAACCATCAGTTAAGGAAGATGGAGTCAGTTGATTAGTACATTTAGTAGTTTCGTTTTTTCCTTCACTGTAGTTTTATTTTACGTTGTACAGTTCGAACAAATAAAGAAAAGAATGATTCCAATAGCCAAGATTGCTTCAAGCGTAATAATTTATATTGTTAATATTATTTTTTAAACAAACTGATCTATTGCTTACGCTTATTTTTCCTTGTGTATGTTTTTAATTTATAAAAGAACACAAGATAAGGAAAAGTACGAGAACCCCTTGAAATGAAAGATATGGTAGGGACGATTTCTTGTTTTTCATCGTTGCCCCAATATTATTGCAGCCAGGAAGAGTTTTGAGCATTGTTGGATGTAACAGGTGAAAAGAGTATGTGATGGACATACTTGAAGATTTCTGTTGATAGCTACGCAGAATAAATGGCAGTAAGAACAGTAGAGCCAAAGGTAGAAATGTCGTTGGAGATATGGGTTGCTCTTAACTTGGTAATTCGTTTGATATATTGAACTGGGCGATGAACTCTCATCAAATAAAACTGATGGCCAGGATTGATATGGCCAACAGTTTGTATACTTGGCTTTTTATTCGTTTGCGAGAGCGAGTTCAATATAAGACAACTATACGAAAAGTCACAGCTTAGCCTTACTTTATGCCAAAGCCTGTGTCGGATACAGGCCCTTTCACAATAAAGGATTTGGGCAAATAACTCTTGCGATGGGGCGGGAAAGTACTCGATTATGTCTGAATCTTGAAATTCCTTCATCACTTCGTCTACAACCACTTGCTCCTCTTCCGTGAATTTCATCAGAAGATATTTCTATGGTCAAGGCTTGCAATTCGAATTTGTAGATAATCTCTCGGTAAGATGCCATCGCTTAGTATGGTGCAATGTGCCGTTGTGTTGTGGAGGAAGACGTCGGCGTTAATGGCTGTCTTATGAAGGCTGACTGGAGCTTTGGGTGTCTGGGCGTAGCTGACCCTTGTTTCGTCCAAAAAGATATATGGCTTCACAATCCCTGGTATATCTATGTTGACGTCCATACCCTCTGTTATTTTTGGGCTGCATGAGTGTCGTTGTTATTCAACCGCATTTCTAAGGAAGGGCGGCTAGTATCTGGCTTGAAAGGTTCTCTGATCTACCAAAGATACATCATTTAGTCTTTGCCTCAAGCATTCTCAAGTCGCAATCTTTAATAATGTTAAGTATGCAGTGTTAAAGCATATAGACTATCCGACGATGAACCTTAAAAATCATGCAAACTTTTTCCAGTATCATTCATGTGCTTGTCTATCAAAGAAAAATTGACTAGCGTATATAACTAGCGTAGTCTTGGTTATAATGAGTATCTTACTATACTACGAAGTAGGTTCCGTACTGTGATCATTATCATCATCGTATAAATAAGAGCGTAGGCCCGGCATAGGCTCAACATTCTCTCAATGCCAGCATATTTTACGTAACACCTCCGTCCAGACAATTCTGTAAAACACCATGAAATCTGTAAGATTCTGTTGTTGGATATTTACAACCATGTTGCTACTGTCAGCGATTTAGTTGTGAAAAAGTTTCAAAGAAAAAGTCTGTAAGATATAAACTCTTGTGACTTTATCCAGTTTACAAACACAAGATATCTCTCACAAACACGCATACAAATATAAATATACGTAAGTGTCATATTTGCACATTTTATAAACATGAAAGACGAACAAGATAAAATCAGAGACATACAGTAAGAGCTAAGTTCACTTACACACATCACTTTTAAGCCTATGATATGATTTGACCATGCAAGTGAGTGACGTCTTTTTTGTATCACGCTTTCTCCTTTTAATTTGCGATCAATGCCCTTTCTGTTTTTTTTCTATCCCTTTTTCTTTATTTATTATTCAAAATGGTTTTCGCTAGCGATGATGACGATTCAATATGGGAGTTTGATGCACCCAAATTCTGGGATTTTACAGGAGAGACGAAACAAGAGCTACCCTCTGACTCATGGTTTTGTAAATACTATTTAAAAAAACGCTATTGTTATTATAATCTAACAGTTACTTTAAACGTAGCTGAGAGGACTGTCTCCGGCCCTTCTTATCCACCTCATTTCTATCCGCCTACACCTGAAGCTTATGCTAACCGTCGGGCGTTTGTTATACCTAGAGAGAGATCGCTAGACCCGTCAAACTCAAACAGCAAGAAAAATGAGCCTAAAAAGCAAAGGATAAGTCATGACCCATTGTCCGCTTTCAGCAGTAAAAAGAGACCTTTTGGAAATGATAAAGATCAACAAGACACAAGACCAGATGCATCCAGAAAGCAAAAAATAACCAGTGATGTTTTCAGCCGTCTGGCTCAATCAAATACAATATCTTCTATAAGTAAAATGGCCAAACCGCCAGACATGAAATATCAAGCAAAGCTTAATCATAGGAATACGGCAGCTGTTACAAAAAAGCCAATCACTAACAAGATGAATCCCACCGCTACCGCGTCTGCTACAACTACTTCAAGAAAGCCCTATTCAAAGCATTCAGAGTTCGTATACAGACGCGTAGAAAAACCCACAGTGATGGATGATCCCTTCAACACTGAACTCAACACTGCAGTTGCATCAGTACAAGAAAGTTCAACAACCGATCAGAAGCAATCTCCCAGACAAGAACCGATATCTAGCACAAGCCGCATCAGTTCCAACCAGGATAAAAAAGATGATACCCCACTTCCTCCATATATGCCATTTACGCCACCTCGTCAGATAATTCCTGATTGGTTTTTCTTCAACTCCCCTGAAAAGGCTACAATAGCAGTTATTAAAGACTCACCAAGAAAAGTATCCCCGTCCTTCATCAAAGACCAAACTTCCCCACCGCCACAAAGCAAAGAAAAGGAAACAAGGGTGCCCATGTTTATACAGAAGAACCCATTTCTTGAAGAATCTCCTTCTGTAAAAAGGGCAACTAATCGACCAGCCCCATCAAGATACACAAAGCTTAGTACGACTGCTAAATTTTTGAATACCAACAATGAGCCAGAAGAGCTACCGCAGTCAACTGAAAATATAAAAAGCCCTCTTGATGTTGTTGAAAAAGAAGACACTCGACACATAAGACATCGACGAATTATTGAAGATCTAAGAAGAAGAATATACAAGGAAGATCCTCGCCATATAAGGCATAAAAAAATTATTGAGGACTTAAGGTTAAAAGTGGCAAAGGCAGTAAGAGAAGCTGCAGAGAAGAACAAGTAGTTTTTATACTACTTGTTTTGTAAATATACACTTTATTCAGCAATTATTTGCATGTAATATATACTATCAATAACCTAATGGTCTTGATTAACCATCTTTTCTTTATTTATTTAAAAGGCAATATTTAATGAGTTTCATCTTTCTGAGAGATTATAATCAATGACAAGCTTATTTTGCATTTTGCTTTTATTAGTGCTTTATCGAGTCCTTGACTTTTGTTTCAGAATTATTGTCAACATTGTTGACTTTAGGAGAACTAAGGTAACAAGTAGGGCAACTGCACGAAAAGTCACGACTTAGGTTTACTTTGTATCGAAACCTGTGTCGAATACAGATAATCAAGGTGCTAACAGTCAGTACTCCAAGTATCAAGAGAACTAATACTGTAAATAACAGACTATATCTGGTCATCTAGTGAAACAATATATAAGTAATCATCACAGAGCTAGTCTTATGTCCATACCTCATAATGATCTATTGCAAGAAGAGACCTTGGCATGGCAAAGACGTACGTTCGATATCCAAAGTAGCCCATGATAGCAACATTGAGACCTAAAAAGGTAATAATGACATGTATGTTTTCTTTTCGAATGCCATAAAAAACAAGAACCAAAAAGGCAAGGATGCTACCAAAGAGCACCACAACGCATTCAAACTTCCATATGTCGTCATACCTAAGAATACCTGCAGGTGCCAACTGTACAGCATATGCAAACAAAAAGAAAAAGTCAACCTTGAGCAGACCACACAAGAGTCCCCAAGCGATCAAGAGCGGTTGAAACTGTTCACTGTCAGTGTGATGACCATGGTAATTTTTCCAGTGAAAGCGCTTGTATAGTTGAGTTGTAACAACAAACATGACACAGAATATAAGTGGAGTGAGAGCGAGTATAGCGTATTGGAAAGGTTTCATTCTTGCAATATAGGCTGCTGAGCTATGCTTGACTGGACTAGAAGCTTGAATGATGGCACGGTTCTGTAAATGGTTAGCTATACTTGTACTGTTTGGGTCTGAACGGTCGTAGGATTCAAAGCATCCCACCTTTTCAAACAAAAAGTGTTGCAAGACATGGACAATAGACATGATGACAAAGAAGAATCCTGTTGAAAAGGAAGGAGGAATTAGTCTTGCCTATGTGAAAAAAAAAAGTATTTTACCAAACAGAATTAAAGCAAGTAGGTGGCAAATGTTTCTTTGCCGCAAAGCGTCTAAATACAAAAATAACTGGTATACGGATGCTACGATAAATAAGCCGTGATACATAAAATCTGTCTGTGCAAATCCCAGTACGACCAAGTCGAGTGTACAGTAGGACAGACGCAGCATATCGTAGTGAGCAGTGAAGGATTCGAAGATAATGATAAGAATAGGTTCTAGAATAAGACAGCCAAGTAGCAAGATATTTAAACTTGCTTCAAATCTCGTCAATGACTTCCAAAGCTCAGATGCTTCTGAATCTAATTTCCATGCGAATCTAACCATGGCTTGTATGAATATTTATGTTTTTGGCGTGTGTATTTATAGTAAATATTGTTTGCACAAAAAGGAGCTACACAGAGGCAAAGAGGATATCTAAAGGAGAAACACAGATGCGTTTTATTCAAAAAATTAATTGATGACAACGGACCAAGGGTGTTCGACTTCACCATATTGAATTTCAAAAATGGCATCATTGAATCTCTTTGTATAAGGGCCAGCCTGAGCATTTGGATCTTTAGGATCCAGAGGGATCTTGATATCTTCACCCATGTATCCAATTTCTTTAATAGGACTGACAACACAAGCAGTACCAGCACCAAACATTTCGACCAAACGACCGGCCTTGGCTAAATCACGAAGTTCAGGCATGGTCATGTTGCGTTCAGAAACCTTGAACTCGTTCCAATCTTTAGCCAATTGAAGGATTGAATCACGAGTGACACCAGGAAGGATAGAGCCATCTAAAGGAGGAGTGACGAGTTCTAATTCGCCTTGTTCATCTTTGATCATCATGAACAGGTTCATGGCGCCTACTTCGGTCAGTTGATGATCAGGACCAAACAACCAGAGGTTTTGTTGGTAACCCTTGGAGGCAGCCAAACGTTGAGGCATCAATCCAGGAGCGTAGTTTCCACCGATCTTGGCGTCACCTGTACCGCGTGGCCAGGCACGAACATATTCAGTGGTGGCGAACAAACGGACAGCATTAAAACCGGTTTTGTAGTAAGGGCCCACAGGACAACCAATGACAAACAAAAGGGCGTCTGTGGGAGGATTGACACCCAGTGCCTCTTGTGTACCGATCATGGTGGGACGAATATAAAGGGAATATCCACGTTCAGTTGGAATCCATCGTTCGTCCGTCTTTAAGTATTCGCCAATGAGCTTGATCAATTCTTCACCGTCAAATTTCTACTCCTGTCCTTAGTATCGTGTACATCTTGTTATGCTTGATTACTTACAGGAAGGGCGATACGTTCACATGAACGGTTCATACGAGCCATGTTCATATCGGGTCTGAAAAGACGAATCTTTCCACTCTTATCCTTGTATGCCTTCATGCCTTCAAAGCACTAGATAGACAATGATTAAAAGATCATATCATGACAGATGTTCGCATGACTTTACCTCTGTAGCATAGTGGAACACGACAGTGCTGGGAGGTAAACTAAGGTTTTCAAAGGGGCGAAGTTCAGGAGCATCCCATCCTTTTTCCTCATTCCATTTAGCAGTAACCCTACAGGATGTGTTTAGTACATATAAACATTGACATGATCTAACCTTACATATGATCAGTAAAAGTTCTTCCAAAGATGAGGTCTTTATTGGCAACCAAAGGCTTTAAGGTATCTGCTTTTGTAACCTTGAGTTTATTTGCCTACACAAAATGTCAGAATACACAAATAAAAATAAAAGAAATCAATTACGCTTAATTCAGAGTATAATCTCTTGGTTTGAATAAAGGCATTACGCCTGAATGAAGGTAGGAAATTGGACAACATGAGTATAGGGTGGGTATTGTGTGAGAAAGAAAGAAAAGGACAAAAGATGAAAAGAAGCTCATATTTATAGTCACATCAGATGGACTCCGCCTCAGACATCAAGTGTCAACTAAGGTTTCTTAGTATTCTCGGTAAATTTCCCACGATACATAATTCCAACAGAATTCTTCTTTTACACTTGCAAAATTTCTCATTTTCTTTGTCGATTTGCTTTTCAAAAACGCGTAAGAACAAAGTGCAGACAAGGGGGAAAGAAAGATGAATATAGATAACGAGTAAAGAGCGATAATGATTCATAATGCAGCGGGCCAATGAAAATGGGGAATAATGAATGTATTCACTTCTTGTCAAGCGTATATTTTTATTGGTTTAATAATACTTGTCATCTTCTTTGTCATCCACTGGTTTTCGTTTAATATAATTATAATCGACTGTAGCCGTATTATACGTCGGTGTAGGAGATGGTGCACTTTCAATATCAATGATCTTTCCATCTGGGCTCAGCTTGAATCCAATAGAGAACTGTGAATCTCTTCGTAAAGGTTCCACAATCTTTTTGTTACGTATTGATTTTCTTATGTTTCTGAATGAAAAATCTTTGGTCCTTTTTGAAGGTTTGGCGTTATTGAGCACAATCACACTTCGATCTGGGGGATAAGGACCGCCTGGTGCTGCTGGGTTATTGATCATGGCTGGTTGGGGTATAGCAGGTGGGCCTCCCATGAGAGGCATGTTGTAAGATTGGGCATGACGAATATCTGCATCAGAGATGTATTCTGGTCTAAATAATCGAAAGCTATAGATACACATGGCCCAATAGACCTATCATTGGCGGATTAGTAAAAAGGAGGGGGTTCAAACAATAGAAAAAAAAAGGGACTTTACATAAAAGGCAAACATGAGGATATAAAAAATGATTCCGAATTTTACTTCATCTTGCCAAAGGTGATTGCAGTTGTAATAATCGTGTTGGAAATCAAAGTTGTTTACTGTATTATTGCTTGAGGTAAAGTCTTTTTGAATGGTGGATGATGATGAATTGATACACCATGAATGGTAATCTGTCTTATTGATGATAAACAGTATCACATTCACTAATCCATCCACAAGCACCAAAAAGACGGACACCCAGATGGCATGAGATAATGATGTGACATGCGTGCCTCTGTCCTAAGTGGAATTGAAATTAGCATCCCATTAGATGATAATTGTATGTATGTTTTATTTACAATGATTAAAATAACAATACCGCCTGCAGACACAAGTGATAATATTAAGTTGACTACACCATATACCATTGTAGCCGCTTGCGTCATGTAAGAGTATATCACTACACAATGGTTCAGTATACAGTGGCAAACTATAGAAATTACTTACAGCTTGTATTTTGAAATGATAGCACTGCTAGATACATTGAGAATCCCTATAATAAAATCAGCATTGAAGCATTATATTCAACATGTATTCACTTACTGCCCATAGCAGACAGATAATGCCAGATCCTATTCTTAATGGAATACAACCACAGCATCTTGGTTGTGGACCTAACATGGGCTGTGCAGCATACATGGTTTATTTTTGTAAAGAAGAAGTGTATAAAAGAAAAGAAAGGGTATAGATAACGTTTCAATATATATATACAAGCCCTTTTTTTTTTCAAGCATAAAGATTTATTTTGGCAACCTGTTGTTTGTAATTGTCCTTATTTGTACATCAAAATTTCCTTCCCAAATTAGCAAAGCTCGACTCTTTTAAGTATCTTCTGTGTGCTTCTCGTAAGTGTTCGGGTCGGATAGGTCCCGTATCATTCCATTCTTCCATGACATCTCTCGCTAATGACACCTTTATTTAAGCTTTTGTGATTTACACAATGATAAACTTTTTTTTTTACCTTTTTCAATGATTTCACCCACATACACTTTTGCAAAACCTGCAACAACAAAGGCCATTGTTTGTGAACATTGCTGATTGAGCACTTGACTTACCAACTAGGATATGATGAGTTTTTTTTGTTTTTTTTGTTTTGGAACTATTTCCTAAAATATCTCATATTACCCTTTTGACATTTGTCCTATTTAATGCCGATCTTCTATAAGCTTCATATCTTTGAAGTTGCTCAGGTGAGAAATTCTCTAGTAAAATTTTCATGTCTTCTTTTTGTTTTTCCATTTGAGCTTGCATATGGGTATCCATATCAACAACGACTTCTTCCTTTTCATCATCTTCCACTTCTGCGTCTATGGTTGTATCCTTTTGTGTCTGCTTTTCTTCTTCTCTTGTCACACTATCTTCTCGTTCTGTTTCTACTGAACCTTGACGTGAAGGAGTGACATTGCTGCTGCTGCTTTGTCGTCGATGAGGTGGCATGCTGCTTCTTTTGATGGCTGCTGCTGCTGCTGCTGCAGTTGTCATTGGACGACCAAAGGTTTTGGGCGGTGGTGGAGGACTTGTGTCTGGTGAAAATGGTGATTTCTTTGACGGTGGCGGTGGTGACGATGCATTAAAGCTGGTCTTTCTTTTATAGGTTGGAATCATTAAAAAAGAGAGAAAAGAAAAAAGGAAATAAAATTTTATATTCAAGTACAGAACAGCCCTTAAAAAATTTATCACTTTATGCAAGTTGTATCCTGGAAAGCATATGATCATGTAGGGGGCTAAAGTCTTTGAACTAAACGACAAAGCTATATTTTTTTATTTATTTAAAATGTTGTTGTTTCCATGGTAGTCTTGGATGGCAATGACAATGAACGATGATGACTTTTCTTTGTCCCAAGGGACAACTTTCTATAATTCAAAAGACGTCCCAAGTCATCCTCATTATTATCCTCCTCTCCTTCACTCCATGTGAGATCAGGTGTAGGTGTTGTTGTTGTTGTTGATGAGGATGATGTAGTCTTTCTAAACGGCCAGAATCCAGAAAGCCCCGACCTTCTTTCTTCGGTTTCTTCGTTCCCATGAGTGGGCGAGGATCCAGAGACAGGTCGTTTGGACGGTTCACGAAGCTGACTGAGCATATCAATTGTCTTTTCCGTCACCCAGGGCCGCATAAGGACAAACTGCATAATCAATTGTTGCTCTAATCCGACCACGATTTCTTCACTCTGGTTTTCTTCACTCACCATGCATGCGGCTGCTGAGGTGGTACCCTTAGACGAGAAATGAAGCATGTTTGAAACCGGACGAAACAGGTGTTTCTTGTGTACAAATGATGGCGGAGGCTGTTGTGGGTACTCGGGCAGCCGTTGAAACCTGTCAAGTTCGTTCAGAACACCCTGAATACGCGCGTCTTGTTTATTGGTAGCAGCAACAGACATGTAGGTCAAGTCGTGAATAAAGACACCCAAGAAGGGAACCGCTGGACGATCGACACAAAACTGAGCGTGTCGACGGTACTGACAATAATTGTCTGATTCAGACATGAGGGTGCTCAGCATGTCTAATTGATTGATTTGCTTTTTGGGAATACACTCCCATGTGCGACGTAGGCGCTGTATAGGCGGTGTACCGAGAGCAGAGACGACAGCTTTCAGTGTTTGATAGTTGAATAAAGCCAGTAACTTGGAAGCCACCTTGACCCATCGGTTGAGGATCTCTGCGCGTCGACAGGCCTCTTGGGGTAATAAAATCGAGTGTTCAATCGTTCGTGTGATAAAATTGAAAAAGTCTGTGGAGGCTATGATTCGATTGTGAGGCGTGCGTGCTGAATGACACAAGAGTGCTTCCCGTGGAATGGCGCGGAATATGGCGGATTCGATCAGAGTAAGTTGGTAAGCAAATAAGCCAGGCGAAAACTCCATCATGGTCGGTATGGTCATTGCACTCATATAAAGAGAGCGGACCTTGGGAAGTATCCCGTTATCATCTTGCTGCTGTTGAAGATGACGATGCATGGCCAACAAGGGAGGTACAGGAATATTGGGTATATAGTCTCTAGTGGGAGATGGTGTAGGTATCGAAAGACTATCGGTTGTGGGTGTCTGTGCAGGAGCTAGATTGGATGGATCAACAACAGTTTGCGATAATACATCATCCATGGTAAGAAATAGAGAGCATGAATTTGCTTTTTTGGGTTGATTAAGATACTGGACAATGTCAACTGTCTCATCATCCTCTTCTTCGTCTTCTTCATCAATGACAAAATGAATCGAGTTTCCTCTTGTTCGTTTCAAGTTTTTAGTGTCGATGTGAACTGGTCGGGGTGGAACAGGTGGTTTCGGCCTATTTACAAGTATCTTTTCTAATTGGTCGATACTTTTCCTGATCAAATCAATTGAGTTTTTATATTCTGGCGGTCTATTTACAATATCTAACAATTGAAATAAACTTAGATCAAAGCAAGATAAGCTATAGTAGAATTACATTGACGTAAGAACTTTGTTTGATGTAATTGTTGAGTGGATAATTCGACAATAGAAAGAAAAGCAATAAACGCATCCTGAATCATAGGGCTTAGTGGTTATTTGGCTTCTCATTTTTATCTAGGTTATTACCTCTGTCTTTCCTTCTGTTAATAATTGTGTTGCATTGGTGAATTCATTCATTATCTATTTACAGCATATATATATATACACACACACAACAAGTAAAAGAGGAAAAAAAAAAAGAATGTGATTTATGTAGGCTGCATTTTATATTGTAGAAATAGACTAGTGTGACTATCGCGGCTAGAATTTACCGCACTTAAAAGTGATAAAGCCCTGAAGTGTTACTCTTAATGGTCAAATCCCAATTAACAATAAAAAGAGAGAGAGTATTGACTATAACACAATAAGGACAATCATTGAAAGATGATATTGTGTATTCGATTTTGATCATCAATTTCAGTTGCTAAAAATAACACTATGCATATGGTCGTCATAACTAGACTTGCTTTTTTTTTATAGGTCAGCAGAAGAATATAGATAGCATCTCTCTTTTTTTTATTTGCAACAGTAAAAAAGTATCATTAGAATTCACTGTGTTGGCTTATTGCTGTGTAATCAGGTACATACAAGGTACTATAATATAGTCTGAGCATATCATACTATCTCTTGTTATTCAAATAAGTAGATGTCGAAGCAAACAGATTCACTCAAAAGGTGTATCGTTATGAAAGATGTATAAGCAATTGGAAATAATCAAAGTGATAGAGTACCTTTTTTTATGCATCTACATCAAATTTCACAGAGAGAATGATTCACATTCTGATTGGCTAAAATTTCTGTATAAAAAATAATGTTTATTTCTTTGACCTTCTTTCTCTTTCTCAATTCTATAGAAATGTCTGTAAACGAAAATAAAAAGGCCCTTGTGTTTTCCATTTTGGAATTCTTGCAAAAGTCATGTGAGGATGGTACGATTAACAAAGATGACACCGAGGGTATTGAAGGTAATGTAGTATAAAGAGGAAATGTGGCCCCCTTTTTCTTACATAATGATACTTAGTTGCTATGCAATGTATTGGTGAAGCCTTTGGTGTAGATGCTTCTAATGAAGAACAACAAAAGCGTTACTCTACAAAGCCTGCTAATTTGCTTTCTATTTTTGATGTCTACTTGAACACTAAATCAAAAACATCAGCTACCAAGGTAAGATTTGTTCGCGGCAAGGCAACATTTTTCTAACCTTTACCCTTCTTTAATGCCAGGCAGCTGGCTCTACCAGTGCTGCTAATGCTGCTGCTAGTGCTCCTGTCGAAGGTAAGTTGTTCTTTTTGTATTGTATAAAACGAAAATGATTAACCTTGACAGCGTAGATGTATGTATAAATAACGTGCGTGCGCGCGTGACGACAAATAAGAAATATGTAAAATAACCCTACTTATAACTTAGAAAACCACAGTGAGTGAAGAAGATAAGAAGGAAGCAGAAATGAAGAAAGTGATGGGTAATCGCAAGGTTGCTGAACGCAACTATCCAGAAGCCATCAAACTCTATTCTGAGGCCATCGCCCTTAACCCTCATAACGCTGTCTTTTATGCTAACCGGTAGGTTTGACACACGTTGAGAATAGTAAAATAATATACTTACTCTTTTTAAACTAGTGCTGCCGCATACAGTCAACAAGGAGACCATGAAAAGGCTGTTGAAGATGCCAAAAAGGCTTTGGACATTGATCCCAAGTATAGCAAAGCATACAGCCGCATGGGGTAAAAGAAAACAACGAGTATTTAACCATTTCACTGATGATTTATGTGGTTAGTCATGCTTACTTTTGCTTGAACAAATTCAATGATGCTGTTGACGCTTATAAAAAGGGATTAGAACTTGATCCTGAAAATGCCACATTGAAGAACTCATTAGCTACTGCTACTGCCAAAGCAAATGCTTCTAGTGTAGAGCGTTCTGCCGAGCCATCTCCAGCTGGTGGTTTACCCAACCTGGGTGCAGGTGGTATGCCTGACTTGGGATCTTTATTGAACAACCCTGCTTTGATGAACATGGCACAACAAATGATGCAGTCTGGTGCTCTTGAAGGCTTAATGAATAACCCTGCTGTTGCTAGAATGTATGTAGAAAGGAAAAAGTAAAATGAATGTTGTGTTGATATTATTGATATTAGGGCTCAACAAATGATGAGTGGTGGAGCACCTCCAAACTTGAATGAAATGATGAATAACCCAGAAATGATGAGAATGTGAGTATGATTACTTAGTTACTCGATTGAGATTAATGTATGGTTTATAGGGCGCGTGAGGCTATGAATGGCATGAATAATAACAACAACAACAATAACAATAATAACAATGGAAATTAAAAAGAGAATTTACAAGTGTATTTAAAATGAACAATAAATTACAAGCAAAAAAACAACAACTTTTTTTTTTTTTTTTTAATCTTCTTCGTCAGTTTCATTCAACCATTCAATAAACTTTTCACTCTTTTTTTCCAAAACGCTACCCTTTTCAAGTGTATTATACCATCTTATGAACACGTCTTCTTCTACCATTTCACAATCATACCAATGTGATAATGCTGTCACTGTCTTATTGACCATCGCTGGCTTACGATGATTCACAAACTGTTCCCAGGTCTTGAGTAGTAACAGTTGATCTGCTTCACTCTTGACAAACTATAACATGACCAGATTAGTGCTTACTTATCTTTAGTTTCTTTCTTTCTTTTTCTTACCGTCTTAAAGAGGTGTTCTCTTGATTTTAAAATTGACAAAATATTGGATGTTTCGGGCACGTCTTCTAATAAACTAACAAGGAGAATGAACAATAACTGTTTCTTTGACAAGTTGTTCCTCATCTCAATCCTAGTCACTTCCTTGGTATCTTCCATAAGAGTTCCTCTTATGTTTGCATTATTGATCGGCTTCAAGAAGAATTTCTTCAATTCCATAATAATAGACTCTATCTGGCTTATTTTATTAGGCGATGCTGGCTTGCCTTGTAAAGTACCATTTGAAGCCATTGGGGTTATGCTTGTAGGTAGAGGGCTATCAGCAGCAGAAGCAGTAACAGCAGATTGACTATATTTTTATAGTAAGTTTCCTTTTTCTTGATTAACGTGACTCTTTTTTACCTTTCAAGTTCTTCTTGCTCTTCCTTGGACAGCTTTACCACTTTCATCCATGACTTTTCATCACTCGCAGCAGGCATAGGCGCTGACTTCTTGTTAACCTTGGGTGTTCGACATTGATGTTCTGTGAATGTCGGACGTCGAAGCTCTTCTACAGATGCCTTTAGCATTGTATCATCCTCTTGCTTGGTAGGTCTAGCATTTCTCCAATTGGAATGACGCACATCTTCTTCAGAAGAAGAGGTTCTCAAATGACTAAGTCGTTCAGCTGTTGCAGATACCGGATCTATTGGTGCTACGCTCTTGGCTCGCCATCCACCTTCTCTATCTGGTTCTGGTTTATTGCTATTCCTCCATGATCCATCTCGGTCTGATTCAACTGGTTTGCCTCTCCAAATGCCTTCTCTATTTGATTCCGGTCTCTGTCTTCGAGGTGAATCTCGTTCAGGGCTGTTCTGAGATGTATCGGCCTTGCTCCTCCAATGATACTCACTTGTGACATTTAGATTACGTTAATCAGCTTTTTTTTTATCATTTACCTTGATCGATTAGATGGCTCGACACCCTTTTGTCTACCATTGTTGTTACCATTTCTCCAATTTGGCTCATGTTCTGTATCTACACTCTCTTCACGTCGCTCCATAGGCTTAATAGGCCGTTCTTTTAACTCTGCCTCTCCATGTGCTATATATAGAAAATGAGTATTAGCAACAATATAAGACATGAAAAACAAATATCATACCAAAATGACACTTGGGACCGTACTGACAAAATCTTTCTCTCATAAACTTTTCGCACAGTTTGGTCTTGAATAGCTGATTGTTTTCAGCAGGTGATTCTTCTTTAGCAGCTTGACCTTCTGGCTTACCACGCAACTCGCCTATACCATGAGCAAAATGGCATTTGGGGCCATAAGGACAACTTCCTTCTGTTTCGTATCGTTCGCATAATCGTGTCTTGTAAAGAGGATTATTTTCTGCAGCTGAGGAAGTGGAATGATGATTACCAAAAGACTGTGGTGACGATGGTTGTTGTTGTTGTTGTTGTTGTTGGGGTCTTGTTGAGTTTTGCTCCGTTTGCTGCGCTCGTTGTTGTAATTGCTGCGGCTGTGGCGATTGAGGTTGTTGTTGTTGTTGTTGCTGTTGTTGTTCTGCAGGTAATGCTCGATTATCCTGTCTCTTTCTTTGTGGACGAAGTTGTTTGGCTTCAATAAAAGTTTGAGCATGCTTAAATGCGTCTTGCATGCTTTTGAAAATCACTTTGTCTGCTGCTGCTGCTTGATTAAACCATTGCATATGAACACCTTGTGCATTCGGTAATAGGCGAGTATGGTGGTCTACTAACTGCGCCAAATGATATTTTACTCTCTTTGCTCTAGTTTATAAAAAAAAAGTTATATAAATTACATTTAGCTTTATAAAGATGAACTTACTTCGTGCCTGAAAGGTATCGAAGTTCAATAGCAAATCCTTCTTCAATACGAAGTTCAGTGGGCCTTAGACCTGTTGCTTCAAATGTTTCTCTAAGAGAGCATCTAATTGATTATTTAGTTTAAAATAAACATTATATTGTCTCTTTTTTTTTTTTTTTTACTTTATGGTGTCTTCATTTCCAATAACTTGTCCTTTTGGACAAAACCAATGTTTTTTATTAGTAAATGTATCATTTAATAGTAAATATTCTATATTATTGTGTCTTTGTATGCGATAAATAATTAGTCCTGCGTATAAATTGTTTTGTGAAGGCTTGTCCATAGAAGTTGATTACTACTTTTTTAACCTTTCACTCTTAAAAAGATTTTTTTGGTCTCCCAATGTCCTTTTTTGAAGTTAAAACACAGACAGAGTTAAAATGGGGTGTCCAAAGTGGTACGGTTGTACACTTCTTCGAGGAATTTTCGTACACTAAAAGAAAAAGCTGTACACCTTATTTCGTACAGTGGTGTTTACAATGGCTTTTCATCCAAACAGTCTTGAAACTTTAACTCAGAATATTAGCAGAAACCTTATAAATCGCTAATGTAAATATTATTACACATCTCACCAATTCTTGATGTCAATGTTTCTTCCTTTAAAAGCTTCTCTCTTTTGAGTTTACTCTTGCATACCGACCAAAATTGGTTCAATAGGATTGAATTCCGGAGAATATGGTGGGAGATAAATTCAACCATAATCTCTTTGTTCAATATATTTCTGAATATCCTGATGAATATGAATAGGAGCACTATCCATGACGACATAGTGCCCTTTAAATTGCTCATGCAAATCAAGTACATCCAAGGTTGTAGCCACAAAGCTAAAGTAATGACCAGTGACAGTACTACCTTTACCTTTACTGGCAGCTGGCGCAGCAGCTCCTCCGGCTTTTCTTAGAAGGTTTGGCTCTCTTTGGGCGTCTTACACTTATATTGACAATACTATAGGAAGCGATGGCACCAAGAGTTCTAATATTGTTAGCTCTTGTTTTCGGGACAGCTACAATGGCTCGCTCGCCTTTTTTGGCCCAAGCTATGGAGTGGTTCATATTTATATTAAAACTAGTTCGTCTATGAAGATACGGTTACTCATGTAGTCCATGTCTGTTTGCTTCCACCAGCGCCGAACCCGTTCTTTTCTCTCCTTGATCTTCTCCGGGCTATTTTTTTCAACTGAATGGAAGTAGGCACATTTTACGTTGATACACTCCTTCTTAAAATCGTAAAACAAAGTCTTGGAAACTTTAGGGTCCCAAATTGGGAAGTAAGACTTTCCATCATTTGATCGGAGACTAGAGAAGGGTTTTCATCAATCAACTCAATAGATGATTCTGATGCTCTTCATTTAAAATAGCTAGTCTGCCTCTCGGTCTACCACTTCCTTCTTTTCTTGTAAAAATATTATCACCATCTTCGAATTTCTTCTTCCATCCTTGAACTGCTGATTGTGGTACCATAAGTTCCGCAGCAGCCTTATGTAAACTCAAACCCTTCTCGTACAAGTAGAAAAAAAACTTCTTATAGCTACGATATTCTCTTGATGCTACACAGTATCCCAGTGCTTGTCGATCAGCTATCTCCTCTTCTGGCTTTTCAGTTTTTATCCTTATCGTTTTTTCAGATAGGAAAAAACGACGATAAGCAACAGGCATGAAAATAGACAGATAGACGGACACAGAGACCTGGGGTTAAAAATCGACATGGAAATAAACAGAGAAACTGAAATGGCCATGTTGCCGAGACGAAGACTAAGGATGTGGTTATAGGCTTTCTAGCCGTGTTTTGTTCTCAGTAATATAAAAATAAATAAAAAATTCTTCTAATTGTTTTCTTTACATCTTCATTGTATTTTAATTATATTTATATTGCCAGTTTGATCAACAAAGAACCAAGGCCGTTCAAGAGTAATTATGATAAGTTCGTATTTTATATCAAAGGATATCTCACCGGACAGTCTTAGGTTAGGCAGACACTTTAGGTAGTATGCAGTTGTAAAGTGACACCACATGTAGTGTCCCAAGGAAACACCTGTAACAAGTGACACCACATGTAGTGTCCCAAGGAAACACCTGTAACATTAGCCTTCTCGTGGATTTCCTCGTGCGCGTAGTGTTTACCGAAATTATCGGTTGATAAATACTAGAAAAGAAACAAGTAAGCTACTATTACTAGAAAAAAGTAGCGCGTCATTACATTAATTTTAAAACTTTTTACTACTCTCTCACTCGGTTGTGCTGTTTATGAGGCTTATTCCAATAGCCTTATCTCTACCGATATTGCTTTGCTCTTTATCAGTAACGTGTCGCCAGTAGTCAAGTGTTGTGGTCAAATAAATAGCCTAATTGAAAAAGCGAGGCTCAGTTTATTAAACGAGTCTTTGAGCAAATTACCCTAAATTTATTCATCTTCATATTGACCGTCCACTTATGAAGGGCGTCATCTTCGTGTTTATTTGCAACTGCATTCACCGCTGAAATGTAATCTTCCTCAGCAGCTTACTTCATAGCAAATGAGTACGATCCTTCACGAAAAAAAATTGGCGAGTCCATTCTGTTCTTTATATTTTTTTAGAGCCACGTCTTCGCTTCCCTGTACGTTCATTATTAGCTTTTCTGTCTCCTAACTATCCAAACGCTGGCAAATTTACACTGTTGAAGCTTTTGCTTTGTTTCGTGTTTTCATTTTGAAAGATATTTATATTTTGAGAAATACTCCATGCATCAGAAAATACACCAGAAGTTAGCCTAATTCTACGGGCACTACCTCTACCCATTACATATGATGCCTTTCAACAAAACCTTTGAATGCGTAGCGTCAAACTAAACACGACTTTATAAAATCACCATCTTGGTTTGTTTCTTTTCAAGAAGAAGAGATAAAGCAAATGTTGTTATTTCTTTATTTGTTCTAATTTTATGTTGTCAATTGGTCAAAAAAGACCACTATGATAGTTTCGTATTTACATATCGGTTGATTTGATCTGTTTTGTGTAACTAAGCCATAAGTGGATCTCAAGTAGTCAAACATGATCATAGCGTACACATGCTTTACAGTTTCTATCTTCAAAAGCGTACAATGAAAAAGATCAAGATTTATGATTCCCACTTAAAGAAAAATATGTTTCGAATAGCATTCACTTTATTGACACGTTGAAGACAACTTGGCAAAAAAGAGGATCTACACGCAGATATTTTTCATTGGCCGTTGAGATTTAATTAATACGTGAGGAATTTTGTTTTTTATTAAACTCAAAAAACAGCGACGATTCTATTTAAATAAGTGCCTTTTCACTATTTTAGACTTTTTTTTTTCACTTTTAAATTAAATGATGGCTATTGACTCTGGTTTCTTGGATCGTGAACATCCTGATACAATTGTTCTTTTTGATGTCGATGGTACATTGACGCCTGCACGTAATGTAAGTTATAATCAAAGTTAATATCTTTTCATATTGAACTTTTTATAGTTTATCTCTCAAGAAATGAAGGATTGTTTGGCAAATCTACGAAAGAAGGTTGCTATTGGATTCGTAGGTGGATCTGATATCAGTAAACAATATGAACAACTTGGAAGCACCAGTAATGTATACAATTGATCACTTGTCACTTTATGTTTATTTATTATAATAGTCTTGGAAGATTTTGATTTCTGTTTTGCTGAAAATGGTCTTACTGCTTATCGTTTAGGAAAACAGCTGGCATCTCAGGTAAGATTTACATGTGTTGCATTTTTCTAAATACTTACATGTCTGCAGAGTTTTATTCAATGGATTGGTGATGAAGAATATAACAAGTTGGTCAACTTCATCTTGCGTTATATTGCTGATTTGGATATTCCCAAAAAGAGGTACGTTTATCATGTTTCAAAAAGAAGTGTTTATTAATATGATCTAAAGAGGTACATTTATTGAATTTCGTAACGGAATGATCAATGTGTCACCTATCGGACGTAACTGCTCAAGAGAAGAACGTAATGAATTTGAAAAGTACGATCTTTCAATCCGCATTCGAGAAAAATTCGTTGAAGCACTCAAAAAGGAATTCTCACATCTTTCATTGACTTATTCTATTGGAGGACAAATCTCTTTTGATGTATTCCCCACAGGATGGGATAAAACTTACTGTTTGCGTCATCTTAAAGCCGATGGTTTCAAAAACATTCACTTCTTTGGTGATAAGACATTTGAAGGTGGTAACGATTATGAAATTTATACTCATCCCGAAGTCATTGGCCATAGCGTAAAGTGTCCTGAAGACACAATGCGTATCTTGTCTGAATTATTTCCTTAATAAAATGCTTATTGTTGTTATTGTCCGGAACTCCCACTTTCTTCTTTTCCGAGAAATGATATAAATGGTAGTTTGTACTTTTTTCCCCAAAAAAATCTATATAAGTACCTCTCTTTCTTTCCCTTTCTCTTTTTATAAAATATGGTCAAAGGATATGCATCCTCAGTTTATAGTCTCAAAAGCACAAGAAGTGCAAAGAGCGGTAAATCCTTTCTTTCCTTATCAGAATCATCCACAGATTCTTTATGGAGAAATATTAAAAATTGGATTCCTTCTTACAGCAGAAAAAAGAAGAGCGATAATGATTCGATAAGCACATCATCTTTTACTTCAATCAATCGGTTGAAAAGGTTATTTAACAATAAACAGATATCCCCTCGTGCAAGCTTTGACATGGAAGTCTCTACAGAAGATTCAATATTAGAAACAAGTTCGACTTTAAACTCAACTGGACCTGTTGGCATCCTGATTAATAGAGAAAAAGATTCAGAAGAAGCGATAAAAGAAAGAAGAGAAAGAAGAAGACGTAAAAGAAGAGAAAATATGCTAAAACACTATCACACAGTGGATCACGAATGTTCCTCTTCGTCTTCTGACACTTTACTGACGCCACAAAATGAAGTTTCCTTTCAGATGAATGACCCAAGAATCATGTTTTTAGAACCAAGTCCAGTACCAAGGTTTCGTAATGTAGCGCCTCCACCTCCACCTTCACCGCCTTATATGAACATAATCATTGACGAAGAGTTGAGTAATAATAATAATGATATCATTAGCATCATTCAACCCTTTGAGGATGACTCAACACCTACTATCCTGACGCCCAAGAGTATTATCAATCAAACCAAACAGAGCTCAAACGAGTATTCGACGGATGAACATGAACGACGTATTTCATTACTTATCGAATCACTCAAATTGAATCAAAACAAAAAGAAATACAAGCTTTATTTCCATGAGCCTTATTTTAGAGGGCAAACACTAAGACTATCACTTGAAAACACAATACCAGAAGACCACATTATCCTATTCAAATTTTTGACAACCAACACAAATAATAAAGTGGAAAGGTACTTTGTTAGGCCGAGCGCAGGCAAAATAGTCGACTCAAGTGAGACAGATATCATGATCTTTTTAAATCAAATTCCACCTCAACAAACAAAGGATACCCTCATGATCCGCTGGGCTGTTGTTCAAAGAAATACTGAAATAGAGGCATGGCTAAACAAGCTGCCCGAGTCAACAAGAAGAAGATGGATTGATATGTTGGATGAGCAATGGCCAAACCAAGTGACAATAAAACTAACAAAAATAAAGGTTGAATTTGTTTAATGTTTAACACAACACATGTTGTGCACTGTTGTATAAATAAAGTGTTTCGTTCATCAACACTTCAATACTGCTTCCTCCCTGCACACTCACTTTCTCGATAAGATATTTTAGCCATGCTGCAATCCTGCTTCCTTTGTTTTTGTTGAAGGGCCATCCAGTAAATTGGATGATGCCAGAGATTGTGCCGACACTGTAATGAGGCCCCATGGATATAAACATGGCCGGACTGGCACTATGATACGGAGCCATCTCTTGTCCGCTCAACACTCTTGATAGATTACGTACACAGTGCATGGCCTGCATATGAGCTGTATAATATAGTTTAGGTTCTCCGATGTTATTGATGTCTCCTATCGCAAACACATTATCCGTTCCTCTCACATTCAATGTCCTTTCCACATGGATATATCCTTTTTCATCTAACCAGTCTGCATGTGACTCTTTAAGGAACTCTGAATTAGGCTTCACACCGATACAGTTATAGACCAAGTCTGCTTTGATCTGCCTATGCGTCTTATCTGTTTCATATATATCATCTGCTTTTTTCTCTGCCTTTTCATTCATGATCAACACAATGTTTCCTCGATGCTCCAAAATACGCTGTGCATGTTTGCCTAGGTTCGCTGGTGCGCTGGACAACACTTGCTCGCCGCTGTTGATCAACGTAATGGCCTTTTGTGGCGATCGGTACGATATTTCTCCGACTACCTCTACTCCAACGGGACCTCCTCCGATACACAAGATGCTATCTGCGGCCAAGTACGCCTGTCTTTGTTCCTTCAAGTAAGCTAATCGTGTTTCAAGAGTAAGAGTATGCGTGATGTCATTTGTTTTCCATGGGTCAGCGTAGCTTGATCCAGTACAGATCGCCACATAATCGTAATCAATACGTATAACCTCATCTTCTCTTGCCGCAACAAGTACTGATGAACTGATGTATTAGAAAAAAATAGAGAGACAGCCCCCTCATACGTACCTTGGTTATCCTTTAGGTCCTGAACACTTCCAAGCACAAACTTCACATTCATCTTTTTCAAGATAGTCTCATAATCAAAGGTGATATTCATAAAGTGTTTATGAAATGCCTCGTCAGTCTCTTCATACAAAACTGAACATAGTGCTGGTGTATATTCAAAAAATGCCTAATATACTACAATAAGCTCATGATATTTATTTCTTTTTTTTTTTTTTTTTTTTTTTTTTTTTTTTTTTACTTTATTATCCACAAGAACGACGTCCATATCAGAAATCTTTGATCGTCTTAACCTTACTGCGATCATAAATCCAGCTGCACCGCCTCCTAATATAACTAGTTTTTTCATTTTATATGTACAAGAGGAAAAAAAGAGAGAGAAAAGTCTTTTGCGCGACACAATCTAAAATGTGTAGCCAATGAATTTACTTGTTTCTTAAAGAGAGCATGAAAATCAACAATGAAGGTTCCATTTTTTTTATTATAAAACACTATAGCCTTTATGTGGTGTATTCACAGGGGCTTGGAACTTTTGGTTATTTCTTACTAGATTTCTCACTGATAGATCAAACAATGCATTCGATAAGAAATATATATACTTGCTAAAAGACCTATGTGCTGGGCTTAAATGAATAGAAGAGATACAAGCGTCCCTTCTCCGCTAATGAATTTCTGTTGCACTACAATTTTATGATCATTTTCCCCTTCTTTTCTTCTTCTTCTTCTTTTTCTCTCTTTCTCTCTAAAAAATAATGCGTAAAAGTACAACAAAAGGTTCAAATAAAAAAACAGTATGGAAAGGGATTCAAAAGAAAACATCAGAAGCAACCATCAAAAAGTCTCAAGATACTGATCAATCATCAACCAAGGTAATTATTTCATATAGGATCAGGATGTGTATAATAACTTCTTTCAATAGACAGATACCATCAGATCAAGGTCTTCTTCAATAACTAGCATAGATGATTTTGAAGACGCTGTGCAAGATGATATAGACGATGAAGATGACGAAGATGATGATTATTTTCAAGACGAAAAGGCATCAAATGAACCAGAGAAACCCATAGAGACAGAACAAAAGCAAGAAAAAGAGCAAGAGCAAGAGCAACAGCAGCCATCAGAGATGTCTTTTATTTTACCTGCTTTGCAAAACCATGGATACGTATCTGATGAAGAAGATGATGATGATGTATCTCTAAAGGATCCTAATGAGCCAGTAGAGGAGTTACCACAGCTCGATGAAATCAAGTTGGAACAAGAAGAAAAGGCAAAAGATGAGAAAGAAGAAGAAAAGACAAAAGATGACGAAGAAAAGGCAAAAGATGAACAAGAGGAAAAAGTAAAAGAAATCGAACAACTTGAAATCGCATCTACTCCCATAGAACTCAAGTCAGGTTCTACTGAAAAGCCTGCTACGTATGAACCTATCCCGGTTGAGAAGCCTAAGGTGGAGCAAAAGAAGATAGAAATTGATGTAGTAGAAGAAAAGCATGATGTTCACACACCAGAGTTGGTTCCTGAACACAATACGTCCAAAAATGATGTACAAGAAAAATCTACTGCTATTGAAAAAATTACAGACAGCGACGAACAAGACACCTCTGTTTCTCATACAAGTGGTGAGCAGCCTAACCACTTGGCTAGTATTCTTCCAGCTGTTGAAGAATCTCTCAAGAATATGTCATCTTCAACTACTGTGAAGAAATCCGTGGAAGAAGAGCTGCCATCAGAGGAGAGAGAACGAGCAAGTCGAAGCAGGGAGTTTGAGTACTCTATTGAGGATCCTATTGATTTAGACATGTTTAGAGATAATGTTATTGCTATTCAGTCGGTTGATCCCAAGGATATACCCATCAACGACCTTAAGCCTCGTCAACAGGAAGAGGCAGGTAATGTATATGTTTATTTAAATTCAAACAAGTACTTATTTCTCTTTTGGACGATAGATCAACCTATTAGAGATGGAATGAAATATTTGTTTGATAACCGGTTTATGAAAGCTAAAGCTATATTTCAAACAAAGGCAAGTATTGATCCTCTCTATGCACTCGGGCTGGGAGCAATGGCCTTTATCAAGGCTATTATGACATACCACGAAAACGATAAAGAAACCGCCATGACTGCACTAGCTACAGCTTATACCATCGCTAAGGCGCAGATTGATAATACATCCTTCAAGAAGCCATTCAAGGATACTGTCACTCAATATTTTACCTCTTTATTATCATCCAACAGCACCGGATTACCTACGAACCCACCCGTATCCACCATGCCCAACAGTAGCGGCGGTATTGCCGATCCGAATTCCTTTATGCCCAATGGATTACTCAGAGCTCATGTCATCAAGGCTGAATGTTGTTTATTGATGGGTATTCTTCAGATGACTCAAGAAAGTGTTGTCGGTTACTTGAAATGTGGATTAAATATAAGACGAGGTTCGTTTTTGATAGGGATGAAATGTGATATACTTTGGCTCATCATGACGGTTTTCATTAGCATATCATAGTTATAGCATTGTATGGCAAGAATATAAGCGCATGGGCCAAGAATATACGAAATATATGGATCGTGATACTGTTTCCGCCATTCAGTTTGGTATTGGCTCGGTGCATCTCATCTTGTCTTCCTTACCACCCAAGATCTTGAAGATCTTTTCTCTTTTAGGATGGAAGAGCGATAAGCAGCTGGGATTCGCTTTATTGAAGCTCTGTTTAGAAGGTCGAGGCATTCGTGCTCCTTTAGCCTCTTTGACGTAAGAATTTATAATGCAACAAAATCATATAATAACACTATTTATTAGGTTACTTGCTTACTATTCTGTTCTGACATCATTTACTCCTCAGCTGTATACAAAAGAGATGATGAATCCTGCCATCGAATGTCTCTTGGACGCTCAATCAAACCATCCCAACTCTTGCTTCTTCCTCTTTTTTGCTGCTCGTATCGCCAGAGTCGCCAAGAACTTGCCACTATCAACCCAATCATTCACATTTGCAGCAGAATCAAGTAAGGGCGAATGGACCGAAGTAGCAATGAAGCAGTTATCCGATTATGAGATTGGGTTCAACTTAGCACTAGAATTAAACTGGAAGGCAGCCGCTGAATACTTTGATCAACTCAGCCAGGAAAAGTATTGGTCTCCGGCCTTCTCCAAATACTTTGTAGGCGCCTGCTACGAGATGCTGGGTCAAAGAACCGAGGCGATTCTAGCATTTGCTCAAGTGACAGAATTCGCCAAGGATAACGGCAAAAAGACATACATTGACTCTTATGTGGACAAAAAAGTCGAGTTCTTTCAAAAGAGTGGATATCAAGATATGGACTTCAGCTTGCCCGGTTTGGAAATATTCCTTGTCCTGAATGCCTTTGAATATATGGATAAGGAATTATTGGAGTCATGTCTTGAAAAGGTACAACACACGCTTGAACTGATTTATGAACGTGAAAAGATCGAGTACAACATTCGTCTTCGTGAACTGGTCCCTGCTGCAGCACCACCAGACTATTATGACCAACGATCTGTGTTGTTATTAACCAAGGCATCCATCTTGAACTCACTCGGTCGTCATAGCGAAACGATTGCTCATCTCAATTGGATACTGGATCATAAGGACTGTATCAAACACGAGACTTGGGTTGTGCCATTTGCATATTGGGGTAAAATGTTGACTTTCGTATATAGATTGTGTTTTGCTTAACTTTTATATATAGAATCAGGCATCACTGCTTGGGGATTAGGTAATTACACAAAGAGTCGTAAGCTATGGCAACTGGCTATGACTTGTACAAAATACGATTTTGAATACCGTATGGCGGTTCGTTTGAGTTTGGCGCTTAGTAAATGTGATGAAATGGGTATTACTCATATTGATGATAAAGAATTGAAAGGGACAAGTACAAATAGCCGAAAGCGTATGCCCGTCCTAAGTAATACCCCTCAAGTGGCTTAAATAATATACATCATACGCCTAAAGTATCTCTTTTAATTATTCTAAAGAGTCCCATTGCATTAAAATAAACAGTGATCACTAATCATGGATATACATGCATTATAAATACTTTTCTAGCTCACTACGACTGGCATTGAGAAGCCAAAATTCGTTTTCGTTACCAGAGAGAATGGTAGCATTAGCACCTGAGCCGCCTACAGAGGTCTGATAGCAATCAAATCCTTCATTCTTCAAGTTTGACATGACCTTATCAACCACTTCTTGACTTGTTTCTAAACATAAAATGTTTAATATTTTCAATATTCATTCAGCATGAGTATTGCTTACCATTAGGGATAAAGGTAACTGCACAGCCTCCTCCTCCTGCACCAGTTAGTTTCGTCTTCAAGTTTGATTCTTCAGTAATCGACTTGACTTTCTCCAAGCTAGGGTGACTCACACCAAGAGCAACAAGGAGAGCATGGTTCAACACCACAAGATCTTCCAATTCCTTCATCAATTCATCTTCTGTCATCTCTCCCAATGCCAATCGCTTGAACGCGTCTCGGCAGCGAATCGAGATACCGTCCATTGCGTCCAAGATAGGATTGATGATGGTACCATACTTTTCTTTTCTATCACGAGCAAAGGCGACAAGGGCACTTGTTGATCTAGGCACTTTAGTATTTGTCAGGAGCAGTCTCAACGATTGAAATCCTTCTAGAGTAGCAAACCCTTCGCCACGCACAAACGTCTTTGCACCCCCGTAGGTCGATACCGCATTGTCAACACCACTTGGGTTGCCGTGGATGACCTGTTCTGCTCTAAACGCATACGAGTTGATCATGTCAACGTACTGGTCGCACTTGGCGGATTGTCTGAAATCGACAGGTATCAAATCGTTGAGTATAAGTAATGCGGTGGTGATGGCGACGGAGTAACTGGCAGAACTTCCGAGACCAGCGCCAACAGGTAAGAAGGATCGAATGGAGATGGTGAAACCACGGTCGATGCGGCCTCCCTTAGTTTGCATAATATTCAATAGATATAAAAAGGCCATCAATGCAGACTTTTGTGCATTGTTTTCATGGACGTTGCATAGAGTCTCCATTTGTTGTGCAAGCGTAGCTGGCATGGCACTAGGATGAAGGGTATCTACAGATGGGCGTTAGTCTTTTATTTTCTTCTCTCTTGTGTGCGTACCTGAATCAGGGTAATCTACTCCCAAGGGTAACTCTTCAAGCTTCCATACTCGTTCGACTCCAATATCAGGTAAATTGATTCTTATGGTATTATCGTCAGTGTGTTCAAGATAAAGGTATGAGCGAAGACCGAGAGATGCAGCTACTGCTGTCTTTAAAGAGAGAGGATGAGATTGCGGTTTTTTTTTCCCCCTTTGTTATACCTTTTGATAGACAACTGAGTGTTCTCCAAACAAGATAACTTTGCCAGGTGAAGAAATAAGGATACGTTTGTTCAAGGTGACCATGGTTAATAAAGAAGAAAAAAGTTTGATTTGCTGCCAAGTAAAAAAAAAAAAAAGGGGGACACCAATTACGCAGTTTGAAAACGCGTTGGTTTTGCATCGTTACTTTGTAATTTTACTTTTATAGTAAATATGGACTATAGTAGTAGCAGTAATGGTTGTGAGAAAAGTTTTGTACTTTGATATGTAACTTTCCTTAAAGTGGCCAATTGCAATCCATACTTTATTCATTGATACATGTCATAAGTCAATACAATGACAATTACACTCATTGTAAAGCATGATAGATCCATCTATACACTGATACTCTCTCTCTTCCAAAAGACAGAGAAATCATTTAAAGGCTACAAACAGGTTCAAGCCCCGCCAAAAATAATTTTGTGACTTCCTGGATGAAGAGTAAAATTTTTTGTCTGGCGCCCAAGCCCTTGTTTCCTTCTTTCTCTTTTATAGTAAAAATGTCTGCTGCTGCTGTATGTATAACTTGAAAAAAAATAGAGACAATGATATTGACTTGACCACTGTAGGCTAAGTCTGCTACCAAGCCCGGTTTGGAAGAACAAGTTGAAGCCAAGTAAGTAGAGAGCGAGATGCGTCGAGAGTTGCGGATGAGCTGACATATATATTCTATAGGATCCACCGCATCCGTATCACCTTGTCTTCTCGTAACGTCAAGAACCTTGAAAAGGTTGCCAGCGACCTCATTCAACGTGCCAAGGACAAGCAGCTCAAGGTCAAGGGTCCCGTTCGTCTCCCCACCAAGGTCCTTCGCATCACCACCCGTAAGTCTCCTTGTGGTAACGGTTCCGAAACCTTTGACAAGTTCGAGATGAAGATCCACAAGCGTTTGATCGACTTGCACTCTCCCTCTGAAATCGTCAAGCAAATCACCTCCATCTCCATTGAACCCGGAGTTGAAGTTGAAGTCACCATTGCTTAAGTGCAAAAAACACTGCTTGAATAAATTGTAATTTCTCTCTCGAATCGTTTGTTTTTTCATTGATCAAGGGAAAGGATTTTGATGACGGGTGGCTTAGCTAGGAGAAGGAGTACACTTTAGGACAGAATCATAGTTACACAATGCTCTATTTAAGAAAAAGAGAGAGACAAGAACGAATAAGCCACGGTCACAAAGGGAGAGAGACTATTTTGTACAGTTTGAGTAACAGTGTGCCTATTGGCGCTGTTTAACATACTAGTTGCTTTAACTAAATTTGCAGAAATTAATGTTTAATTTTTCCTTCTTTTCTTTTATTTCCTTATTGATACCCTTTTTCATTATTAAACATACAAAACAATGGTTGATTTGATATACAACAATTCAGAAAGCGTAGAATCATGTCAAGATAAAACAAAAGAACAAGTGCTGGATGGTTTATTATCAAAAGTTGGATATGGCATATTTCATAAAAAGCTACTGGTAATAACACACATTCTCTTCTTGTGTCTTGCTAAAAGGCTACATCTTTTATAGATATTATGTGGATTAGGCTGGCTTGCTGATAATGTAAGAATATATATATAATTTTAATGCGCAGTATACCAAAAGTTGACTATAAATATAAATAGATGTGGCTGCAGGTAAAGGACAACAACTTTCTTATTGTTTATCATTTATCAACTAATATTCATAAAGACAATTGCTATCGTCTTACCTCGTGTTCAAGGTAAGTTGGAGCATACATGCATATGCCTATACTTACCGAGTTTGATAGAACATTATTCAATTTCAGATAATCTCATTGGAATACTATCCAGCTCCTTGTTTGCTGGCATGACTTTCGGTGCCTTCTTTTGGGGGACTTATTCTGATGCAAAAGGCAGAAGAGTACCTTACACCATGACACTCTTGATTACATCTGTGTTTGGAACGCTTTCAAGTTTTACCTTCAACTTTTTCACACTATGTCTCTGTTTATTCTTCCTTGGCTTTGGTGTTGGAGGAAATATGCCTACGGATGGTAAGATCAGAACGGCCCTAGATATAAATATAGGATCTTACTCCCGTTTTAGGCGCGCTCTATTTAGAATTCTTACCCAAAGAGTATCATTATTTGCTGACATTCATGTCTGTCTTCTTTTCACTTGGTGCGGTATTGGCATCTGTCTTTGGTTACGTGATTTTGCCGTGTGAAGGGCCATGTGATGATAATCGCTGGAGGATGATGCTCTTTGTCATTGCCATGATGACATTCTTTATGCTTGCCATTCGCACCTTCTTACTCAAGCTGCCAGAGACTCCCAAGTTTCTGATGAACCAGGGTAAAACAAACGAGACGATCATTGTGTTACAGGATATCGCAAGGATGAATGGCGGTCATGTTCATATCGATAAGGATGATCTATCTGCATCAGTGGCATGTGAAGGCTATGAGGAGCTGCATGATACGACTGATGAAGTCAGCCCGATGCTGCTTGAGGCACAGGATGAGGCTGACAAACAAGAGAAAAGCACACAGGCGTTGAAGGAACTGTTGGGACCAAAATGGAGAAAGACGACGCTGCTTATATGGTTGATTTGGACATTTACGTCAGTAGCTTATACCATGTTTAACGTGTTTCTGCCCAAGTTTTTGGAGACAGTGCAAAGTGAAGAAGCAAAGCCAACCTTGGCAGAGGTCTATTGGGATTATTTAATTTATTCCTTAGCTGGAATGCCTGGCTCTGTGGTAAGTAAAATGATAGACATGTATATACAGACTAATATAAATGCATATATGTAAATATAGATTGCGTCGTATCTTGTAGAGACATCATTTGGCAGAAAAGGAACCATGGCCATATCTGCTATAGGATCATCCTTGTCCCTGCTTGTTTTCTCAGTGTTCAAGGCTCGTCTGGTAATGGTCCTATCCTCTTCATCTGTATCCTTTCTTGCTACGCTATTATATGCAGTTATTTATGGATATACTCCTGAAGTGTTCAACACATCTGTAAGAGGAACCGCAGTTGGCACTGCATCGGCGCTTGGAAGAGTAGCTGGCATCATTAGTCCTCTACTTGCTGGGCTCTTATTTATCGTCAACACGTCTCTACCGCTTTATGTGAGCGTCGGTGGTTATTTAATTGTTGGTGTCTGTATACTCATGCTTCCCTTTGAAACAAGAAGAAAATAAACCTCTTTATTATTTATTGATTTTACGCTGTATCCAACCCCATGTCTGCAGTCTTCTTACAACAGTAGGTGTGATGGCAGCCGTCAGAGAGAGCCGAAAGGGTAGTAAAATTGTTTTATGAATGCCATAGGCAATAACAAAAAGTGTGGTAAAAGAAGGCTTTTCGTCAGATAGATGTGATGCGTCTGTAGGTGTGTGTTTAAGGCCCACCCAGTTCTTCATTTTCCCAATTACATAGTTTTCTGCTTCCTTGACTTGTTGAGCTCCTTTTACACTAATGACTGCCATGGTTGCTGCCAAGTCAATAGCACCCAGTGTCAAATAAACTCCTATGCCTGCATAGCCATACTTTTTCATGAAAGACTTTGTTTTTGCAGTTTTAGATTGTTGCTGTTGCTGTTGCTGTTGTAGTGAAGGATATGAAGTAAATAGACTACGTCTTGGCTGGTATAATAACACATGTCTGTGAGCAAAGAATCTGTTCATGACAAAAGGTATGAAAGAACATGAGCGACATACTATTTAGTTGCCAAATTTAAATTAAGCAAAAACACGCATTGACCAATCAGATACCTTCTTTTGCTGAATGATGCTCCTTTTTGAGCAGAACAGCTCTTCTTTTGTTGAGATGAATATTTATATAAAGAAAAGGACAAAGAGACAAGAGTAACTTTTTATATGCAATAAAATAAGAAGAAATGATAAAATATACATTTGAAGCACGTTATATATAGTCTTTGAATTTCTTTAAGGTTTGGTATCCATACTTATATTTAAGTACATAGGGAATAGCAATCAAGTCAAGAATGGCGGTTACACCAGCTTAGAAGATATAAGCTTAAAAGAATATGAAAAGAAAAGTTAAAGTAATTCGTTTCAATCGAAAAATGGAAAAAGAACCAAAAGAAATAAGCAATAAACATCCTCCGCATGCTTTTTATTCCTCTAACTTCAGTAATTTTTCATAAAGCTGGAGCTGTCTTTGCTTCTTCTTCAGCTCCTTCTCCAACTCCTGTATTTCTCCTTCAAGAGAACTACTCTTTCTCTTCAGAAAGATTTTATCTTCTGTTTGTTTCTTAGGTTGTCTGTTATCCTAGACAATTCAAAAGATTGATCGTTACGTTAATTTCTAATTTCTATTATTATATCCGATATAAATTACTTGCATTTTCGAAGGACGGCTTCACTTTTTCATGCCCAAGCCGTTAGGCAAGACAAGACTTTTTCTGTGACTATCACAGGAAAAAAAAGTAGCGTCCCTTTTGTCCTTAAAGTGGACATATGTGATTTTGTCAAATTCCAAATGTAGAAGATGAAATGCATTTTATCCTGTTATGCCCCAAAAAATTTGAAGTGTGGGTTCGAGTTTGGCATCATTTCTTTGGTGCATTGGCTTTAACAGTAAATACTATGGAGCAAGCAATATTTCATTTACGTTTTCCTCCTCAAAAACTTTCTGCTTTCTCTAATGAAAGTATTGTCGGTTGCGCCTTTTGGTGCATCTGGCGTGCACACTGGATGTTTATTTTCAATGGACATCCTTTTATCCCATCCAAGGTTTTTCGGGCTATCATAGGTTGCCTGGAATCCTTCAAGCATTAATTTTATATTTGTTAATTTTCTCTAGTAGTTCTGTCTTTCAATAGTCCACCACTGATTTCAAGTGGCTATTTTATTTATTTAAAAAAGTAAACCTTGGCTAAAAACGCCCCTACAAAAAAATTAAAGTAGACATATGTGAACCTACAATAAAATTACAATTTCAGTTATTGCTTGATCATATAGTTTATCTCATATATTTTTACCCTTGCTCTAGTGTTTTCTTCATAGTATGCGTTGATTTATAATCAGTGTTTTCCTTCACTATTTTTTCAACTTCTTCAGAGAGGTCTTTTAAAAGCTTGCCTTCAATAAAGACATGTTGTCGAAATCGACAACAACAAGACATGAGGATATATGGTTTGCTATTTGCATAATGTACGGCGTAAGTAATTCGATTTGTACAACAAACAGCATATTTATCGCCTTTACTTTATAAATACATCACCTTAATGTTACTTAAAAGAAAAACAAGAAAGGCTGACCACAAAATGTGCTATATTTATATGACGTGTCATGCTCAATTCTCATTGACCGTGATAAATTCATACAATAATCATGTAATGATGAGCTCTCTTTAACGCTATAGGAAACTTTTAGACCAAATCTAACGATTTCCATGAAAAATCTAAAGGCTTCTTCTCAAATCTAAGCATTTCTACACAGATATAACCATTTCTTAATATTTAAGAGCTTTGAAAAGTAGAAATGGCAATGTCTCAGTTTTTAAGATAATATGAACAATAAACTGTACGAATTCTTTTGCGTATATTATAAAGAAACAGCAAACGAAGGAAGTCATAAAGCTAAAAAGCTTTTCATTACTCTAGTGAATTTCCTTATTACTTAGGCTTAAAGGTAGGATTAGAAATGTGCTCTATACTTTTAAATTAATTTTGGAATGTTTTTTTACTTTATCCAGACTCATAATAATGAATATAATGAAGATGCCATATCTTTGAATAACGCGCCCAAAACAGACAACAAGGACGTTAATGACATGATTGACACTAATAGTGTAGACGAAGAGATAAGCTTTAAGACAGATTGGGATCAATATGAATCAGACAATGTACCCATTTACGAGGAGTCTCTTGTGGAAGACGAACAGACTGATGAGCCAAAA